TACAATGCTTTGAAAAAGAAAAAGAAAATAACCAACGGAAAAAAAGAAAAAACCTAACATATAACTCGAGTTACATCAGTTTTATCCTGCTTATCCCTTAGAAACACCAAAGTTGTGTGCTACATTTGTTGAAGTATCCGAATTGGAGAAACGCAACTTTCTGCTTGTTTAAACTTTTTCACCTGCAACAAAGTAATGGTCTAAATATCAACAGTGGACGCTAATTGTGGCTTAACTGATCTCAGTCCCTTAGATCGGTTGTCATGGACTCCATCCCATCCCTTGTACGTGTATCATCATATTGTTGGCTCAATACTTCATGCTATTACCTTACTATAGTTTGTCTAGCAAAATTCTAATACCGTATTATACAAAAAAAACTTACTGCAAAAAGAATAACATTGATTGGGGAGCAACATAGAGTATTACCCATCATATTTTCACTAACTTCACTTAGGTTTGCATTTGTTTTCTCTATCAACATCTGTCAAAGATACAACTATCTATAAGTGTAATTTTGAAAGAGGGCGTATAAACAAAACAGAAGAGAGTCCACATACCCTCATAAATAAATGTAAGCAAGTCGTCCGGATATGTATCCCTGAAACTGCCAAGCTTCGCCTTTAAAAGTTCATGTCCTGTGATTTCAGGCATATGTGTCCCATAGGTCTAGCATCACAAGATTCTTATAAAGAGACAACGAGTTGTCATAATTTCTTGCCTAAAACCAAATAGTGAATAAACTCAGAGGAAAGGGCAGTGCTGAAAACAAAATAAACGTTCTAATGATGCAAGTGATGAAGAAGCCTTGATCTCGGTTATGAAGATCACAAGCCGTATCTTCATGGTACTATATGAAGACTCACATAATGAGCACAAAGAGTAATGAAGCCAATGGGAATGAAAACAATGCCCATTAGTAGAAACACTTTATAGGCTGCAAGACATGTGATTTCTCAAGCACTGGAGATACGGGTTTGGATCAAACAATCAGAACAGGTCACAGGAATTCATATTACTAACCGATGTTGGTGTTAAGACTGGCTTACAAGCTGGGATTTATGCTGCTTAAACTGATACAGAGCTGCCAAATAAAAACACCCAAAGTGATTCAATGTTCAGTTATAAACACTTGAAATAGTTATATGAATCTATAAACAATACAATAATCGATTCCAAACCATAGGTTTTTGCCGTAGACTAAACTGTAATTAAGAGCTAACACTCACAGTGATACAATGTTCAGTGAAAAACCTTGAAATTAGGTATACAAATCTGTAAACAATGCAACAATCGATACCATATCACAAGTTTTTTCCCTAATCCAAATTGTAAATAACTAACTACGCTTTGATAAAATATCGAAATCTTAGAATTACCTTTCGATCGTCTCGACCGTAAGAAGGATAATTGATCAGGAGCACGAATCATCAAAGTGTTCGATCATTCCACTTCCATCACTTTCCCTTCGACTTCAACTATACATCAGAACACAAATCGGCGGGAAAAAACTATGGAGTCTCTCACAGTGAATCAATAGATCGATCTACGATCGCGTGGTCTCTGAGCAAACATGTTACATATATTCACCTTGATTTTATTTTTCCCCTGATGTTGTTGTGAATTTGTAATCAGATCCCTTTTCTCTTCAGAGTTAGAGAAAAAAATCAAATCGAGATCATATTTGATACCTTTGACACTGATGACGATTTTCATCCAACAAGAGTACAAATTAAAGAAAAACATCATAATTTGCATGAAAGAGTTCTTCGATTTTGATTTCAAGAGTTGTTATTTGCATTGAGGAAGGAGAAAGAGTCAATCTAGATAAATTTTAAGAAATACACCTTTTGAGATACAAATTTTCAAAACTATACCTATAGTATGAAAATTTTCAAAAATACAATTTTTCTTAGTTTTCATATATATGTTTGGATTTACTAATCCTAGATTAAAGTTTAGATTTTGGGATTTAGAGTTTAGATTTAAGGGTTCAATGTTAGGTTTTAGGATTTTGAGTTTATATTTTTGGGTTTATAATTCTTTTACTAAATGAAAAAAATGTAGTTTTGAAAATGAACACCATAGAGGTGTAGTTATGAAAATTGGCACCTCAAGAGGTGTAGTTTTGAAATTTTCCCGTCAATATATTCAAATTCAAAGCGAAACTTAGGTCCCTATTGGTAAGGACTTTTGCTTTAGGCTGTGACTCTAGGCTTTTGACTTATAATTCGGCTTTAAAAACTGTGACTTTAGAATTTAGTTTTAGATTGTCACTATTACTTTTAATATTTATGAAAGTCTGATTGATAACAAAAAAAATTATAAAAATTGTAACTGTTATTTTTCTATTCTTTTGATTAATACTTTTTATTCTTTTCATGAGAACTAATACTAAATTTTTAAGTATAAAATATTAAAAAAATGAAGCTTAAAATAATGAAAACAAATGTAATAACTATCAATTTTTTATTTTTTATTTTTATAAAATTAACATAATGGTAAAAAAAGAGTAGTTTTAATTGAATTTGGGTGTTGTTTGGGCAAACTTTAACCGGTTCACAAGTACAATAAGCGGAATGACGCGGGAGAAGATATCTTATTAATCAATAGAATATCGAGTTACAACAAGTCAATATCAAGGATTAAACCAAGAGACTCGTTTGTCGCTCGTCGTAGATCGTAGTTCGTCGTAGTTAGGTTATCGTCGCTACTTGTCAAAAGGCAGAGAATAAGTAGCTATTAGGGTTTTTGTGTGTTTATTGCTTGTCCCCCGATCTTTGTTCTATGACCTCTTATTTATAGGTGTTAGTCGATCATAATCCTTGTCGAGTTGGGTTTTGACGTCGGTTGTAATATTCCATTTCTCATGTCGGTTGTTCCTTTTAGTTTTCTTTTAATTAGGAATGCACGTCGGTTCTTTATACAATTCCAATAGGTTTAGGAAATCATACAAAACCATTGGTAATTGCGAAACTATTAACAACCGTCATTGGTTGTTGTCTTATCACGTCGGTGCTAAGGCCTTTCAGGCAATAGGAGGTAAGATCGACCTGTCGTCATGGTCGTATGTCGGTCATATCTCCAGTTTATAATAGATTTTTACGAGTGACTGGTTAGTAAATGTATTTCACCCAATAACTTGTCCCTTACTCTTTACTTTCTCACTAAGAAGTTATAGAGTGACATTTCTTTTAAATATCGCCGGTCGCTCTTCGATAGTGTCATTTATAACTGTAGATTATGTCATCTCTTCCTAATGTAGATACTCCATTTTATTGAAATCGACGCTATCGACCATGGTCCCACAATAGGTGCATAAGAACATGCGAATGAATTCAATAATTAAATGAATAAAAAGAACTGGAGAGACATACATACCATTTCCCCATTTTCTTATGTTGCTCAGGTGATCTTTCTCTACAAGGAGGATCCATATACTTTTATGATATCGTATGTACCTCCTTTCCTCTTTTACTTCTCTTGTCTGTTATGAACTGCCAATTGGAGGAGCAGCGACATACATATTAATTATGTAGTTGTGTTGATCGTTCACGTGAAAGATGACCAACAACATGTTTGCTTGTGCTTCGTTTTTTTTTTCTCTTAAATAGTCGAGCTTCATACTCCCATCTTAAATAAAAAGTATTTTTTAACAATAATGTCGCCTGAGACCTTAATCCCTCCCTAATGTAGATGCTATTTTTTTGTATGTCGCTGCCTTTCTTTTTAATTGGAGTTATTGCTCCTTTTCTTTTAGTTGGTCTTGGTCTTGGTCTTGCAGGATCTAATAAAAAACTAGCAAGAACAAAAACATTTTATATGTTCGTCTTTGGTTGATTACTTGGATTGACAACATAAGTTCTATACGAGGTGCACAAGTTCAAACACATATAACTGAAAATCGAATAAGTAGCATGAAACAAAGCTTATTACTTTCTTTCTATTGGTCTTATGAGACTAACGACAAGAATGTTGCCCCTTTTTGGATTTGACCACGATGATTTGTATGCACGTAGCTCATCTATTGTTGAGTATCGACGATTTCAGAACATGCTTTCTCAGTGGATAAGCAATTACTTGATTGTGAGGGTTTTATCCCTTAATTTATTGTCATATTTTGATGAGGACGTACCTCTTGATTTAGTAATGTTGTCACAGATTAGTGAGGACGTACCTCTTCATTTGTTAGCCAATGATTTATGATCATAACATTTGGAGGTCGTGCCCCTTTGTTAATCAAAGAGCAACATGGCATCATAGTCTATGGAGGTCGTACCTCTAACTTATTTGTTAGCGACTGTCGTCGCTATCTATTGAGTACGTACCTCTTTATTTATCGTATCATGACTTATCATGGTGAGGTTGTACCTCTTAATTTATTTAGTAGCGACTGTCGTCACTGTATATTGAGGACATGCCTTCTATCTATTTGCTTATGACTTGTTGTCATAGCATGTGGAGGTCGTACCTCTAAATCAATTATTAGCGACTGTCATCGCTCTTGCTATATATTGAGTACATGACTCTTTATGACTTGTCGTCATAACATGTGGAGGTCGTATCTCTAAATTAGTTATCAGCGACTATGTCGCTACATTGAGTACATGACTCTTATCTTCCTAGTGACCATGGTCAATTTCTCATGAGGCATTGCCTTAGTTTTTTTTTTTGAAGAAACGTCGATGGTCGTCGTTGCTCTGTCACAAGGAGGCAATGCCTTTTTTTTTTTTCTTTTTTACTGTCGTTTATCATAAGCAGTGGTATGACAGTCGTTATCAAGCGAGTGACGAACATAATCTGAGAATTCTTAAATCTCATATGTAGAAAAACCTTTTATTAAGAAGTTCGTCCGTAGACATGCGCGAAGTAAAGAAAAACAATTGAAAGCAGAGACATCTCGTGGATCGAACTATGACTTAAATAAATCAAAACACTGAAAGCCAAACTAACCTAGAAGAGGTAGGTTTCGAGGTTCGTTTCATCAAGATCTTTTTCCGTCAGTGGATCTCACCGAGTTGTTCCACCTCTGCTTCTTTGGTATGTGGAATCGACGATTGGATCTCTAGTTGATATAGCTCATGACCTTTCCCTTTTAGGTAGTTTGGTAGCATGAACGTGCATGCTCTTGTTCTCCCTTGATCTCTTTGACTCCCCATGGAGTAGGAAATTTTATGGTTTGATGGAGTGTCGATGGCACTGCCCCCATGTCATGAATCCAGGGACGTCCCATAATTGCGTTGTACGCAGTAGCACAATCTAGTATCAGAAACTTTGTCTGTCGGTTAATTCCTCCTGCATACACAGGCAGCATCACTTCTCCTATGGTCTGCTTACTTCACCGCTAAATCCTACCATGGTGTGGATTTTCGCGTCAGTGCGTTCTCATCCAGCCCTAATCCTTTGTAAGCATCCATGAAGAGAATGTTGGTCGAACTCCCATTATCAACGAGTGTCCTTTTCATCAGACTATTAGCGATTGTCAAAGATATGACTAATGCATCATGATGTGGAGCTAGGACACACTTATCTTCATCTGAAGCAAAGCTAATCGTGCACTTCGACAGTCGCTCATATAGCTTTGACATCTCCATGATGAGTTCTAGCTATTCTAGTACTCTTTTTAGCAGCAGAATGAGTAATTCCACTAATCTCTGATCCTCCCGATATCACGTTGATGATTCGATCATGCTTCGGAGATTGAGCAGGGGATGGTTTCTTTGCACCTCGTCATTGCTTCTGTCGTCGATGCGACTCCTAGCCCTGTCGGACAAGTATTCTCTCAAGTGACCTTTTTCAGTAGCTCGTTTACTTCCATTCTCAACGTGATGCAATCTTCTGTTCTATGACCATGGTCAGAGTGAAAGTCGCACCACTTTGATGTGTCTCTTCGTTCCCCTGGTGCTTTCATCTTTTGAGGCCATCTTACTCCAGATATATGATTAAGAACATTGACTAGTTCTGCAGGAGATATTGCGAGGTTACTCATGTCTGGCCATGTGGATGATGAGCGTTGGTCGCTCTCAATTTGGTTGAGTGGTCGATGGTCGCCTCTGCTGTCGCTTCTCTTGCTAGTGCTTTCACTGCGTGGTCTCTGGTACGGTCTGTCATCTCGAGAGGGACGCTCGTTCCTAACACGCGAATCAGATCGTGGGGAAAGTAGGTGTCGATATGCAGGGTCTTCCTCCCACCTTATTTGAGCCCATGCTCTAGATAGCACATCTTCCATCGTTCTGCACTGGTACTTCGTCAGTTCCTTGTACAAATCACTGTCTGGGAGCAATCCTCTTTTGAATGCAGAGATGGCAGTGGACGTGACACATGCCGGAATGGATACTTTCTCTTTGTTGAAGCGACCTACGTAATCGCGCAACGGTTCTCCTCTCTTCTGTATCACTTCATAGAGATCGTCGGCTGTCCTTTCTATGTTCCTGCTGCTCGCGAATTGCTCAACAAAGCGGTCTGTCAATGACGCGAACGAGTCGATTGACGCGTTCGGTAGGTTTGTAAACCACTGAAGAGCTGGTCCCGTGAGGCTAGATCCAAATCCTTTACACATACTAGCTTCGCGATATTCTTTTGCTATTGCCGTTGTGAACATGCGTTGCTTGTACTGGGCTATATGATTATCAGGGTCGGTCGTCCCGTCGTACATCTTCATTGAAGGGACGATGAACTTCTTTGGCATCTCAACCAAAGCGATGGCATCCGTGAAGGGAGTGTCTGCATAGCAATTAGGAGCACTCCACTCACAATATACAAAAATATATTCTTGATTATATAAGAACATACAATAAATAATAGTAATCTTCGTTAATGAAGTAATCAAAGTGTTTGAAGTGTACACAAATCGTTTATCAAGATTTTAGAATGCTTATTTTATATGGATTTTGGATTTTATTTATTTATCTTACTAGTTTGGTCGATTTCCATATATTTAATAACAAAATTGTTCTCCTAGATCGACTAAAATTACAGGAAGAGTAGAAATGTGTATTTATAAATAAATGCATTCGAATGTTTGATATTTATGCGAGTGAAATCATATAATTAATCCGGTTAAATGGTTTATGCGGACCAAAACTAGATATCCAATTAGTTAACCTGCCTAAGCTGGCTCGGTGCCCGAGTTTTTGAACATAGATCTTAAGTTTCCAACTTACACTAAACAGAGGGAATTTGCCATCATCGTACATAGATACAACAAATCATACCAGCAAATAACATTAATTAAACCACATAGATACTTAAGATTAATTGACAGCAAAATGAAAACATGACTCGCTTGCGTTAATATAACCATTACGGCATAGCCGAGAGATCAAAGAGTAGTCACTTGGACACGTGACTTTAATAGCCAATCTTCATATTCGAAGTTTGTCAGAGCGAATTTGATTGCTACAGAAGACAGCAAATCGATAAAGAAGGTGGTGGGACTTACCTGCATTGAATTAGGAAGATAGCAAAGACTTGATAAGAGTCTCTCCTTGTGTAGAAAGAGATGTGATCAGAGTTTCTCCCAGTGAAGAAAGAAAAATGATTGAATTTTCTCCTTAGTGTGAATAGCATGAATCTCGAGTCCAGAATCGAGAATGACATCCATTGAAGCATATGAAGAGTGAGAAATTAAAGGACAAAGTTCAGGAAGAATACAAGGGTAAAGCCCAAAAAGTTTACAAAGACAGTTTAGGAGAATAAAAAAGTCTAGCCCAGAAAATTGATAAATTTTCAGCCCATAAGATTAAAAAGACAAGTAGATATAGTGGTGGCGACGGCCAGTCTCGGAAAATCACCACCATAAAAGAAACCTGTTATAATATCGAAATCAATATATCTAAGTTCTCCGGCTAGAAGTATAGATCTTACAATGGAGAAAGGGAGATGGCGCTGATGGATAGAGTTGAGCTTATGCCATTGCATATGGTTGGGCAACTGAATCAGGTTTGTAGGTTAATAACCAGATAGATCCGGCCGGTCCGAAGGTTTTGGAGGAGAATACGACAATGCCAAAAGGACACTGACCCAGAAACAGTAGCATTTGTGACCAAACTACCATCTCAGCATGAGAAATGAGGATCCAGGAAAGAGGGGAAGCTCCGATACAGGGAGGAATCACCAGCACGGAGATGCATCCAATGGTAGAAAATGGTGTTTTGATTTGCGTGTGTGGGAAATTTTTTATAGTTTTGGCTTTTGAATATAAGTCTCTGTAACTATTCAATTATTCTGGTTACCCACAAATACATGACATGTGCTGAGATATTAGAGATAGTTTATACCTCTCTTTCATGAATTTTCACTTGGTGTTACATTTGGTTTGTATGTATGTTCCATATTTTGCGATGTAGTTGAAACATCCCAACGACAAATATTTTGATTTAGTGAACCACTCAGAAGATAACCAAAACACATTTGTCTTTGCACCCACAAGTATCGGTTTTTGAAATATTCACAACGCGGTTCATTTCTCCATCAACATGTTTGTTTCTTCTGCTAATCTAGTAAATGTTTCAAAATGTGTACTCGAATAACATGACTAGGGACCTGATTAGTTGTGGCTAGGTTTGGGCATAATGGATACTTGGATCGGTTCCGGGTCGGTTCTTTCAATTCCGGGTCTTACGGATATAGAAGTTTTTTATCCATATAGGATCCATGTTGTAATCGGTTCGGGTCCGGGTCGGTTATGGGTACCCAAACTTTAGCTATAAAAAAAAAAATTAATAAAATTGAGTTAAATTTTATAAAACATATTAAATGTTACTCCCTCCTTTTTTAAGATAAATTTTATGGAATTTTTTTTTTGTTTCACAAAGATAAATTTTTTAGCTTTTTGAAGTAATTTTTCAGTTTTCAAGAAACAATAATTGGATTTGTTAGATTTGTATTGGTCTAAATTTATAGAAATTTGTTTTATTGCCACAATCTATACACTAATGACTGAAAATCAACTTTTTCTTAATATGTGTGAAAACTCTAGAAAGTTTATCTTTAAAACTGAGGGAGTACAAAATATAACTAAATATATTCTGATTTATTAGATTTTGGTTATTTTGTGCTAAATATAACTAATATATTTGGTTAATAATTGTAATTTTAAAATTTTAGTTATTTTAAGACTAAACATAACTAAACATTTTTAGGAATATAATTATATTTTGAATATTTTGAGTACCCATTCGGTTCTCGGTTCGGTTCCGGTTCTTTCGGATATAGGAGTTTAGGATCCGTTCGGATATTTATGTCTATTCCGGTTTGGTTCGGATCCAATTTTTTCGGGTCGGTTCTGGATCGGGTCCTTCGGGTCGGTTTTTATGCCTATGCCTAGTTGTGGCTGTAACTTTTGATTTTTGGCTGTAGAATTTACGTTGTAGGTTTTAGTGTTGTGACTTTAGTTTTTATTGTTGTAAGACTTTTTGGTTGTAGATTGTGTATAAAATAAAATATTAAAACAAAAAAAAAGAATATATAAAAATAGTAAATTAAAAAGAGAATATGAACAAAATAATAAGGAAATAGAAGAGAGAGAATTTGGAGAGCACTAAATTTAGTGCTTTAGAAAAATTGTTTTCCAGAGCTACTAAACTCCCATAAATAAATAAAATTGCTCTATGTTTTTAAAAGGGAAATAGATGGAAGGAGTCTATGTTTTTAAAAGGGAAAGAGATGGAAAGAGAGCATAATTGGTAATTTTAGGGTACTAGAGAGATATATAGTTGTGAAGAGATATAGAGTTGTGAAGAGCAGAGAGAACGCCTACCAATCACCCAAACAACTTCTTTTTACATTACCAAAAAAAACAACCTCTTTTTATATAATAAATCCAATAACATGCATTTTGATACAAAGTTAGTTTTTCGGATAATAAAATAAGTTTGAAATTTTGTTACTTGTTTTTTCAGGGTGGGGAAAGTGAAATTTTTGTTTTCGTAATTTTAAAACATTAGGTTCAAAAAGAAGTCCGGATAAGAAAATAGAATACTCTTTATTTCGTTATTTGAGAAAACGTTTGTTTTTAATTTTTTATTCAACCAACAAAAAAACGATTTCCCAATCCATTTTATTTTCATTATTGCAGAATCCGAAAAGGAAGAGACTTTGAGAAACTCACTCTAGCTCTCTCTTCAAGAACTCACAAAAATAATTCCCCAATTCTCTGTGCGTCTCTCTCGGTGGATCTACCTCTCTTTCAGATCCAGGTTTGTCTCTTCCTCTTCCTTGATTTTATCATAACTTGTCGTTCTCCAAATTGGTTTCTAATTCTTGTTGGTCTTCCTTTAGGTCCTGAGTAAGTCAATAAAATAAGAAAAGCTACGAGCCTGAAGATACCTGCTTTTAGTCTCTCACAAATGCAGAAATTGAAAGAAAAAATAGGGTTTATGTGAATCTTTGGCTATACTCTTTTCTGGGGTTTCGTAATTACTAACTTACGAATCACTTCTCAGTTCTCACTTATGGAAAAAGCAGAACATGAGCTTAAATTCTGATTAAACGGTGATTTCCCCAATTTAGTGCTTCACTGATTCACTTTACTTATTGACCTTCTTGTTTTAGTTACTATTGATTAAGAAAGTTTCTTCATTTAACTGATTGTACAGGTGCTAGAGAAAGTTGGAAACTTTTTCGAAAATTTGTGTTCTTGGGCGTAAAAAAATGGAGGAGATACAGTCGCAATCAGATCTCTACCGTTCATCGTCGTCTTCTGCAAGTAGTCCTACTAGTAGAGTCCCATCTAGTCACTTTTTCTATGTGAGAAAACCTGGTTCTGTTAGACAACCTATATCCTTTGAAGATTCTCCTGAATGGGAAGACATGGAAGCTGATGCAAGAATGGAAGATGAAGCTGGTGGTGGTGATTCTATCAACTATGCTACAACAACAACGCCTGTTTCTCCTTCACTATCCAAAATCAACAGCGGATCAATGGCTTCTCCTCCGGTCCCTGAAGGAGGAGGAGGTGGAGCTGCTGTAGTTAGAAAGATTGCAGGTGCTTCTATAGCTTGGAAAGATTTGACTGTTACTATGAAAGGGAAGAGAAAATATTCTGATAAGGTGGTGAAGAGCTCGAATGGTTATGCGTTTCCCGGGACTATGACAGTCATTATGGGTCCTGCGAAATCCGGGAAGTCTACTCTTTTGAGGGCTCTTGCTGGTAATGCCATAAGTATTTGTCGGTTTATTCATTTGTCTAGTAAAAAGTCTCTCTTTTTGTTTACTGATCTCATCTTTTGTAGGAAGATTGCCTCCATCAGCAAGAATGTATGGTGAGGTGTTTGTGAATGGGTCAAAAGCACATATGCCTTACGGATCCTACGTGAGTCACTATTGTTTTTTTTAGCTTTCTTGATCAATCCTTTCACTTTGTTAATTGTTTTCCTTGTTTTTGCTGCTTGCAGGGATTTGTTGAGAGGGAAACACAACTCATTGGATCGCTTACAGTTCGTGAGTTCCTGTATTACTCAGCTCTGCTTCAACTTCCGGGATTCCTCTTGCAGAAAAGGAGCGTTGTGGAAGATGCGATACAGGCCATGTCTCTGAGTGATTACGCAAACAAACTCATTGGTGGTCACTGTTACATGAAGGGTCTCCGAGGTGGTGAAAGAAGACGTGTTTCTATTGCTCGTGAACTTGTAATGCGACCGCACATTTTGTTCATCGACGAGCCTCTTTATCATCTTGACAGGTTTTAATCATTTTTTTTGGCTTATGTTATTATCTTCATTCAGTGACAAATTAGGATCTTGCCTTCTAAAAAATGGCTTGTTTCCTTGTCTTGATAGTGTTTCGGCACTGCTTATGATGGTGACACTAAAAAAGCTTGCAAGTATGGGATGTACACTTGTATTCACGATATATCAGAGCAGCACCGAAGTGTTTGGTTTGTTTGATAGAATCTGCCTTCTGTCAAATGGAAACACTCTCTTCTTTGGGGAGACTTTAGCTTGCTTACAGGTAAATGTACTATAATGTTTTGAGCTTCAAAAAAAAAACTCTCATATCATTCTCTGAGTTTATGTTTACTCTTTATGTGTCTTCTTGAAGCACTTTTCAAATGCTGGATTCCCATGCCCGATAATGCAAAGTCCATCAGATCATTTCTTGCGGGCTATAAACACAGATTTCGATAGGATTATTGCAATGTGCAAAAACTGGCAGGTACATATACAACTACAGAATATAGGATTACGTTTCTTTCTTGTTGCATTAAATTTTCTTGATGTAAACAACAGGACGATAATGGGGACTTCTCAGCAGTGAATATGGATACAGCTGTTGCTATTCGCACTATCGAGGCGACGTATAAGTCATCTGCAGATGCTGCTTCTGTCGAGACTATGATACTCAAACTTACCGAAAGGGTAACATTGGTGTCTTGGTGTGTTTAGATATGTATATATACATCTATGTTAGTATATCTAAGTTTCTTTTTGTTTCCTATGTCTTTTGCAGGAGGGCACCCAGCTTAAATCCAAGGGAAAAGCTGGTGCTGCTACACGAGTTGCAGTGCTCACTTGGAGATCGCTTTTAGTTATGTCGAGGGAATGGAAATACTATTGGCTCCGACTTATCCTCTACATGATTCTTACACTTTGTATTGGCACTTTATATTCTGGCTTGGGTCACTCTTTGTCTTCTGTCGCAGTAAGTCTTCTACAACCATTCTCAACATGTCACATTTGAGTACCAAGACATGCAATTTATTGATTGTTTGATGTAAAATATTTCTTGCAGACGAGAGTTGCTGCTGTATTTGTTTTTGTCTCCTTTGCCTCACTATTGGGGATTTCTGGAATACCTTCGCTTTTGAAAGAAATCAAGGTAACCATTTCTTCTTCTTGATTTGTGTACTCTTTTTTGTGAGCTCTGAAGTTTTACTTTTTCCCTTTTTCTTTTTCATTTTGATAGATATATGGAAGTGAAGCATCAAACCAGCATTCGGGTGCTTTTGTTTTCCTGCTAGGGCAATTTCTTGGAAGCATACCGTTCTTGTTTCTCATGTCAATCTCCTCAAGTCTTGTGTTCTACTTCATGGTCGGGTTAAGAGACGATTTCAGCTTGTTGATGTACTTTGTGCTCAACTTCTTCATGTGCCTGCTGGTGAACGAAGGATTGATGCTCTCCATTGCTTGCATTTGGCGAGATGTTTACTGGAGCACTTTGACTCTCATCTTTGTACACGTGAGTTTTCTCTTCCAAATCTACGCTTATCTAATTCAAGATTCATGTCTTGTATTAATCTTGTTCTCTCTAGAATTTTGCCATGGGACTGAATGTTGATTTGGTATACTTAATACTAGATGAAACCAAAACTAGAATGGTAATCTTAGCCTAAGCCATTGAGAGTTGAAGTTAGGAGAGAATACATGAGCGTGTATTGCTTACTAATCATCTAGATTGCAATGAGATTAGTACTTGTAGGTGATTAGTAAAGGAGATTAGTACGTCTTTGATTTTGATATTTGATTCTTCCTCTGCATCATTGCAGGTGATCATGATGCTTGCTGCAGGACACTTCAGAATCCGTAACGCGCTGCCAAAACCCGTCTGGACTTACCCGTTTGCTTACATCTCGTTCCACACTTACGCCATTCAGGTTACACATATAAACACTTTTTTCAAGAAACGATCATTGCCTCTTTCTTCAGGGGGAAACTCAAGAACATGTTTGTTTTTATTTGAATGATTGGCAGGGTCTTCTCGAGAACGAGTACCTCGGGGAAGTGTTTGCGGTTGGAGAAGTGAGGAGTATATCGGGATACCAAGCGATTCGAGGAGATTACCAGATATCTCCGGATACAAACTCTAAATGGAGGAATGTGCTTGTGTTGTTGGCTATGGCTTTTGGATATCGTCTTCTTGTTTATGTTTTACTGCGTTTTGGCCTAAACAAGAACGTATCTGGTCGTTTATTGGTTTGTCATAAGAAGAGTAGCAGTTCTAGGTAGATTTGATTGTTGATGTTAGATGAGATTACTCTAGTCTCTCTTTTTCTTTTTCTTTTTTCGTGTAATTTTGGTAGTTGAAAATGAAAACAGCTTAATTCTTGTTGATCATTAGACAAACGAAAACATTTTTGTTGATCTAAACGACATTTTTGCATGACAAAATTTAATCTCAATAGAATATTGATATATCTAAAAACTTTTGTTTTTCATATAATTTTTGTCTTGAATAATTGATAAATTTTAATTGTTGATTTTTTCAGTTTTTTTAATTATTCATTAAAAATGTATATTAAACAGGTTTTAAAATACAGACCCGTGCTAAAACAGGTTTTAAAATACAGACCCGTGCTAAAGACCTAGTTCATCTTAATAACCAATCAAACAAAACAAAAAGGAGGTGAATTAAACCGTATATAAGTTTCCTGACAACAACAAAAATTGGCAAAAACCGATACAAATATAACTGATATATGTTGATTTCTGGAGAAACTTAGGGTCTGATTGATTGTGACTGTAGTTTTGAATTTTTTGTTATAGAATTTAGATTGTGAATTTTTTTTGATGTGACTGTTAATTATAGTACTACAGAAATTTCTTATAAAATATTATAAATGTAGCATTAAAAATAAATAAAAGAAATATAAGAAAAAAATATTAAAAAAGAAATATAGAGTGAGACTAAAGAATGAGAAGAGAGAGAATTCTCAGAGCACTTAAATTTGTGCTCTAGAAAATCTGCTATACAGATCCAAAATATTTTCATATTTAAAATTATAGTTTTCAACTTAAAAAATAAAATTAAAGCATGATTGATTTAACACTAATACTCTATAAATAATTATTGTGCAGACCATTCACAACACTTACCCATCACCCCTTATGCTTTTCCATTTGTTATCCCAACCTTAGCCCAAAGCCCATCAATAAACAATCCCAAATTCTTCTCAGACGATCCATCATTTGTCAAAGCACCTTCTAAACTCATTTTCACCCGTCGGATCGCTTCTTTGACTTCATCCCTCGATTTTCCACACATCAAACGGTCAATACTCATCTTCACTTCATCTCTCTCAACAAAACCCCGATCCTCACACAGATTCATCCCAATCTCCCAATCATCAACCACAAGCTTCCGATTCGTTACCTGATCAGTCAACAAAGGAAAACAAAGCAACGGAACCTCACACCAAATACTCTCCAGAATCGAATTCCATCCACAATGCGTCAAAAAACCGCCTATACTCCGATGCGACAAAACCGTCATCTGACAACACCAAGGAATCACGATCCCGCGATCTCCAGCTTCCGATTCGAATTTCTCCGGTAACGGATTGTTCTCGTCGGAGCTAACGATGTCCGGCCGAACAACCCAGACGAAATTCACTTTACTCATCAAAATCCCGTGAGCGATCTCGACCAAATCTTTCTTCGTGACATGAGCATAGCTCCCGAAAGAGATGTAAATCACTGAACCGTCCGGTTTAGCGTCGAGCCATTGTGTGCAATCGGATTCTGACCAGAGACTCGTTGTGACCGAAGAACCGGTTTGGAGATTGAACGGGATTATCGGTCCGATTGCGTAGAATGGGATTTTGGAATTCAGGGCTTGAATCGTTCTGTTTTCGAATTGGTGAATCGTGTTACAGAGAACGAAATCGACCTTTTTCACGTCTTCGAATGCTTTGATGATGATTTGATGAACCACCGAGGAAATATCGGTTTCTTGAAGATACGACGCCGTGTCTTTCGGGTTTATAGCTTTAACTCCGGGAACGTAATCGATTAGATCGCCGCGAGATTCTGATTTGAGAGTGAAAACAAAAGAAACAGGTGAGATTTTTAGATGATTAAGGAAATTTAAGGATGAGTTTGATAATATATTTGAATAAACGCACTAACTGTTGAAAATATTAAGAAATAAGGCAGATTTAGAAAATTAAGGGAATTTCAAGGATGAGTTTAGTAATTATTTTTATTTAAGTCTTTTCATAAGCAAGTGAATTTATGGACCCAACAGCACCTGACATGATTCACATGCGCCATTAGATGACAAAAGAGCTAGACTTTAATATTAAGTCCCTACATCATTATTTTCCCCATATTTATATCGTTACAGTTACTTTTTGTTTTTTGGTCGGCAAATTGTAACGCTTTTGCTTTAAATATTTTTATTTTATTTTTAAAATCAATTAAAATGGTGATATAAAATCTACAAAAAACATAAACCATACAAAGGTCCCAATCCCCAATCTATCTAAATGATTAGGAAAATAGAGTCAATTACCCCAATGTATCTTTAAATGATTAGGTAGATGAGATCGCATATTTTGTAGGTTTATTTGCAAAACCGTTACTAAATTGAGTTTTTAAGGTAAGCTGATTGAAAAGTACTAACATAATATAATCAAAAACAATGGAACAACTAAAATAATCTATGTTTTTAGTTATAAAATACCATGAGCGGAATCAAAATCTAAAAAAATACGTGTGCTTAATTAACCATGCTTTAGACGATTTTACCATATGCTCTAACATTTCTCTATACAATTTATTTTTCTCTTTTGAGAAAAGTCAGCAATTTATTTTCTCTATATCTATCTTACATTTCAAAATAATTATAGACGTTGGCCGAAAAAAAAATAAACATTTACAAGAGTAATTTTATCGTGAAATGTGAAAGATCTAACCGTTATTTTTAATGAAACAAAGTGCGAGAAAATTAGAGAACTTGAGGCAAAAAAACTGTAAATTAAAGAATAAATTACCTTGAGCACCAAAATGGCCATGAATCCGAAGCAGATCCATATGGTAATAGAGAGAAAAAACTAAAGCAGCTTCGGTCCAAAACGAGACACAAACCAAACCAAACTTCTTCGCAACCACCGACGGCCACACAAAGAATGTGTCGGCGATCATAACATTCACACCTTCTCCGACAAGACTCGCCACAAGCTCTTCCACATGCGCCGAGAACACGTGGAGCAGCGAGGATTGGTACTGGTCATGGTTTAGCGACCGGTCAAATCCGATCGGAAGACCATCAGAAACAGTCGCGTAACGAATGTCAAGACCAGACTCGGATCTAACTCCGGCGAAAATATCTCCCGAGTTGATTTGGTGGTGGTTGTAATGAGTATTGACGAAAGTGACGGTAATCCCCTGTGACGCGAGCTTGATGGCTAAGTGTACGAATGGGTTTACATGTCCTTGGAATGGGTATGGGATCAAGAGAGCATGAAGGTGATGATGTTTATGATGATTGTTAGGGTTTTGGTTTTTAACGTTCGCCATCAAAATTGGGATTTTTTTTTGGGGAGATTTTAGATAATGAAGAGAAGCTAAGAAATGAGAGAAATTGAAGGTTATATTTTGTTTGATTTATTTATTATTAAAACCAATAAAAAAGAAGAATTTGTGATTAAGAAAAAGAAATTTTAATTGTGGCAAGTTGGGGATAAGTGAATGAGTTTGCATTGATTCGCGGAAATGCCCATAGACGTGGATGGTCTAGAAGCGGAAATGAATGACTTTGCATTTTGATTTTTTTTTTTTTTTTTTTTTTTTTTTTAAATAAGTACTCCCTCCGTTTCAAAATATTTGTCATTCTAGCTTTATTTTTTTGATTCAAAATAGTTATCGTTCTCACTTTCTAATGTAAAATTTAATATTAAATATCTAATTTAACCTTGATCTAATGAAAAATACTAATAGTCAGTTTGCTTTTTAAGGGTATAATAGAGTTTTTAATCTATTTTATTAATCTGCGTGAAATCTCCTAAAAAAATATCTTTGATCTAACCCAGTAGATACCGTGGATAAAATTTAGTTCCCGATAAAAGGTTATGACCATTTTGGATTAGGATTGAGAAGTTTTTAAAGCTGCCGGAGTCAACTGTCAAAGTGGTTAATTTGTCAAATATATTCTGCTAATAGTAAACGAGAGAGCGAAAGGCTGAATGGCTGATAGTACCATTTATATAGAAGAAAATGAAAGGTTAACAAATTTCTTAACTAGGTATCGGATCCTTACTAATAATACCAATTACCTTCTATCATTAGCATGAATTTATTCTAACAAGATTACAACGAATATAATTAATGATTTTTTTATTAATTAGTATTAATATTATTCATGCAAAATTTGATTATTTGTATAAATCTCTAAATTTTAAATTTAAAAAGAAAGAACGGATATTATAAATCGATAAAAATGTATGTAAAAAAAATAGAATACCAAAAAGAAATATATGATACTTGCATTTGTTTTAAAGAAGTTCTTTAATTATATTTTAAAAAAATTTATAGTATTTTGAAAACTAATACTGTTTTTTTTAAACTACACTTTTTGTATCAAAATGACCAAAATATATTCTGACCAAAAAAAAGATGACCAACATATTACTAATGAATACACAAAACATGTAATTCTTTTCAAATCCATTTTGAAGTACTTCTAAAATATAGGAAAATATAACATTACAATATAATCAATTAAATTGAGAACTAAATGAATCAATGGATGTTAACTATAAAAAAAATAAAAAATTAACTTGGCTTCCATAAATTTTGATTTTTGGTATAGAACCATATAATCTTAATGTTTTGTATATGTAATATGAGTATTCTTAAAATTCGTTTTTGAAATCCAAATTTTAATTCATGTATAAAACGTGAGTTCACTTTCTTTTTCAAAAGGGAAATGTGAATTCTATTTTCATATAAAATGGTGCATATTGAATACATAAAGAGTTTATATATATATATGCGCATCTAGATGTAAATTATTATTAAGTAAATGTGCTTTCTTTTAGAACATGTATTTGATTTTCCAAAATTTAGGGTACATTTAAAACATAAAACAATATTAACATATTTTGAAATTTTAATATATATCTTATCCTACCTGCACAAGAAAATCATCTTATAGCATTAATCTAATTGTAGCTTGCGTAGCTATTGAGGAGATAGACACAAACAGACACAAACAGACGCAATACATTTTTTTAAGGTATGTTTTTGATGGAAAAGGGAAGTGCGGGGACAGAGTGAAGTTTGTGAGAGACCAGGCGAAAGAGATCATACTAGCACATGGAGCGAGATGCCCAAGGAACACGGGGAGAACTGAGAGACTAATCAGGTGGACAAGGCCAGAGAATGGATGGGTCAAGCTGAACACAGATGGTGTTTCTCGGGGTAATCCTGGAGCAGCGGCTGCCGGAGGTGTGCTTCGAGATGAGATGGGATCTTGGTGTCGAGGCTTCTCTCCTAACATTGGTACATGTATGACCCCTTTAGCCGAATTATGGGGAGTATATTATAGCTTGTTGATGGCGTGGGAGAGCAAGGTGCAGAGAGTAGAGATGGAGATAGACTTGGAAATAGTAGTGAAGTTTCTTAAGATAGGGATAAGTGATAAGGGATAAGTGATATGCATCCGCTGTTGTTCCTAGTGTGACTGTGCCACAGCTTCGTATCGAGGGACTGGATAGTCCGCATTTCTCATATGTATAGGGAAGCTAACCATCTCGCGGATAGGTTAACTAACTATGTATTTTTTTTGTTGTTGGGTTTTCACTCTTTTGATTATGTTCCAAATACTTTAGATCACTTGGTTGTAGAGGACTTAACTGGGTTTCAATCTCACAACAAGTTCGGTTATAATTTTCTTTTTTTTAATAAATTGGGGGATTTTTTCCCCCTCATTCGACCAAAAAATTAGAAGCTATGAGCTTATAGCTATATGCCTTGTAACTATTCTTGGATATTGTTTCCATGAATTGTCACAACAATTTCCGTGTCCAAAAGCCACGAGTTAGACATGAATAAATTTGTAGTTTAAAAAAACAAAAGAAATCAGAAGATTCTTTTAATGAATTTTATAGGAGTTACAATTAATAGAAAAGAAAACCAAAATTTGTATTGAAATTCTATTAAATCATTCGATTTTTTTTTGTAAAAGTAAAAATTATGTGCAATATGTCAATGTATGGAGTGTGAACATGTCACAAGGTAGGTAACTGTTCCATGCCATTTGCAAAAATTATATATTTTTAAAAGTGAGTAGTTTCTTGATTAAAATGTTAGTGTGGAACTTATTATTTCCATTTGATAATGTATATGGACATAAATTCATAATAAACTGCATGAAGAACGTTTGATGCACTACAAGAAAAATTGTAAATAGCCACAAAGCAGTCACAACAACATTCGTGGCTAACGCAAAATAGCCACAAAATATATCATTTTTGAATTTTGTGGAAACTTGTAACAATTTGTGGCTAACATAGGCACAAAAAACGTTTTGTGACTAAGAGTCTAAGAACATGTGCAATGGAGAGCCCCATATGAGACTCTTTAAAGTTACTTTATGCTAAAAAAAATAATATTTTAAGTGTAGAGACTTGTTAAGGATTTTGGGATTTTAGCTTCCACAATGGAGAGCTCGAGATGGGGTTCTTTAATTTTTTTTTTTGGGCCAGTGACAAACATCTCTGAAATCCTTGATATTGTATCAACAGTTGCAACTATTATGATTGTTTGTTAGCTTAATGATGATTCATACATACGTCTCTACAACATCAACAACTTGCTCCAAATTCTTCTCTGAACACTAGACAAAGGAGACATCAAAAACGAAAATAAGAAAACCAAATGGCATCCAATGATCGAAATCTTATTCTCTTGGAAGAGATACGAACATAAAGAAGAAGCATACCAGAAAGTTTGACCAGCCTCCTTGAGTGAAAACAGAATCAACAAGATCCTTTGCAGACATGACCTGATAATTTACAGCCCCATCCACTTCCCCATTAGCAGACCTGATTATCGAGGATCACATAAACCGATTAAACCGATAACTTTGAGCAGTTCGATCACACATCAGAAAACACTTCAAAATTCTCAGGCTTTCGATACATCATATCTATCAAATCGAGACCGGAAGATCGAGAACCTCTCCATAAACATCGGAAAGTTAATTCCTTCGCGATGGTATATATTATGACAATGAGAAGTATATACATATATAGAGAGAAAGAGATGCATAACTGGAGATGCGGAGACCAGAGGAAGGCAGGAATGGTATCGGGAGAAGCCAATCCGAATTCAACAAGAGAGGCTACGGAGAGAGCAAACAAAAATGCCAGTACACCAGTTTGCATCTTCATCATCATCATCCGGAGAGAGAAAGAAATCAAATCAATCGTGTTTCGATCGAAAAATTCCTCACGACTAACAAACGAAACAATCAACAAATTCAGAGATAAAAGTATGAACCTTTGGAATCGAGATCGCTTTGAAATCTAAAATCTAATTACACCCTTGAATTCCAAAACCGATCCCCTACATTTGCTAATTACGCTTTGGTGTTGTTGATTCAGCGACCAAATAGTTAATTATCTAATCGAATTCTCCGTTCTAATCTTCAATCCGAGAAAAAAAAAATCAAATCCGTTCATATCTAACGAGCTTAATAACCAATATCTACCACTGGCTTAAAAAGAGAGGGATCATAATTTACCCATTAGAGAAGCTTCGGGTAGAAGATTGAGAGCGGCACCATCAATAGAGAAGCGCTGGATGTTTAGCAAACTGTAGACGCTCGACATCAGAACGACGAAGACGGTGGTGCCGATGAATTTTACGATGACGGGCCTGGCAGCGTTTGATGAGATCGAAGGTGAGGATGATGAGTTTTCAGAAATCGTTGAAGAAGACGGAGACAGAAACCGAAGAGAAAAAAATTTAGAATAGAAAAAAAATGTAATTACAACGCGGACAATTTTTTTTTCCTCCGAGCTCTCTCCTGCCGACACTTGACAAGTAAAGACGTCTCCACAGTCCATGCAGGGAGAGACGGATCTGGGTCTTGGGCTTGCCAGATGGGTATTAATTTTCCTTTTTTCTTTATTTTTTTCTGTAGATACGCCCATAAACTGTCTGTTGCGCTTGCTCTAATGGTGTCTTACTTTCTACGGATAGCCACAATACATTATTATAGCTACAAAGTCACGTATAGCCACAACCCAATTTGTGTGTTCATAGACACGTAATAGATTTGTATCGCTCTGTAGCTATATAGCCATACCAAGTTCGTTGCTACCCGTAGATAACATCTTTTGCCGACATGTCATGTCGACAATTACACGCACTAACATTTACACTAATGAGCCACAAATATATTTGTGACAATTCATAGCTAGTTTATGTCGGCAACAATATTTTAAATTCGGCCACGACTGCATTTGTGGCTAGCTGTAGCTAGTTCTCGTGACCAACTAGTGGAAGAAGTCTCTTCAAGTCTCATCAATTAGCTTTGTAGAGTATAGGTTTAACAGGGAATATTGTCGGCGAATATATTCGATTTGAGCCACGATATGTGGTCGTGGCTATCCGTCGCTTGGAAACATTCACATAAATACCAAACAAAGCATCATTCTTGAATCATTCAGAAATTTAGAAACAACTATGAAAATGTCAATTTTTTTCGGTCTAGAGAGTGGATGTATAATCGTTTTTCTGATTCTTCCCCAAAATTTGTTTCAGATGAATTTATTAAGGGAATAAACACATTTCTTTCTTCTGCTTGGGATCAACCTTCTTACTTGGAGCGTAATAATTTATTATGTCCATGTAAGAAATGCAAGAATAAAAAACGTCGTGATGATGAGACCGTGGAGAATCACTTATATCTCAGAGGATTTACGGAAAATTATTACGTGTGGACGCATCATGGAGAAAGTTGCTACATTGGTGGAGAAGCATCGACAAGTCATCATACAGCCGATCAAGAAGCATGGAACAATTATCCCAATAATCAAGTTATAGGGCATACATATCATGATCCAAGTGGTGATGTCAACATTGTTTCTGGTGGTGTCAATTTCCCAGAAAATATCCAAGAACCATTTTACACGGAAACTCATCATGATAGTATTCTTGAGGCTTTAGAAGCGGCAAATCAACCCCTTTATGAAGGATGTGCTGATGGGATTTCTCAATTGTACCTGACATAAAAAGTGATGAACTTGACATAAAAAGTGATGAACTGGAAGACCAATTACAATATCCCGGAGGTGTTATTGGATGATATAACCCACACATTTAAAACTGTACTTCCGTTGCCTAACAAAACTCCTGAATCATACTACGAGACGAAGAAGTTAACCCGGTCGCTAGGGTTTCCATGTCATAAGATCGATGTTTGTGAGGATAACTGTATGCTATTCTGGAAGGAAGAAGACCGTGGATTGGTTCAATGTCGGTTTTGTGGAAAAGCTCGGTACCAGTCAAACGTGGGTCGGTCAGGGAAAAAGATACCAAAGCAGAGAATGTTTTATCAACCGATTGCAGATCGGTTGAAGCAACTGTACCAATCAAAGACGACTGCTTCACAATTGAGATGGCATGCAGAACATTTGTCCCCTGAAGGAGAAATGCATCACCCGTCAGATGGTAAAGTATGGAAGCATTTTCAGAAGGTATATCCTGCATTTGCTTCTGAGAGCCGTAATATTTATCTAGGCTTATCAACAGATGGATTTAATCCAATTGGTATGAATGGGCAATCTCATTCTATATGGCCTGTTATAGTAACACCATATAATTTGCCCCCAGAATGTGTATGAAGAAAGAGTATTTCTTTCTCTCCATATTAGTTCCTGGGCCAAATCATCCGAAAAAAGCCTAGATATTTATCTTCAGCCGTTGATATATAGAAGAGTTGAAAAATTTATGGAGTGATGGTGTTTAGACGTACAATGTCTCAAGGAAAGAAAATTTCAAGATGCGTGCTGCCTTGATGTGGACAATCAGCGATTTTCCGGCATACGGGATGCTAGCTGGATGGATGACACATGGCAGGCTGGCTTGCCTATACTGTATGGATGAGACAATCGGTTTGGTTGCCAAATGGAAGAAAACACAGCTGGTTTGATTGTCATAGAAGGTTTTTGCCTCGTAGACATGCTTACAAACGGAATGTGAAGAATTTTCTTAAGGGCGAAACAATGCACTATGATCCCCGCCATGGTTAAACGGGGAAGAAATTCTGCATGAGAGAATAAACTACATTGACGGGTTGTTCAAGACAGTTGATTGCGGAGGCAAAGAGCATGACAATGCTGCTCGAGAAATTGATGGGTATGGAGATTATCATAATTGGGTGAAAAAGAGTATATTTTGGGAGTTACTGTACTGGGAGCATCTTCTTCTTAGACATAACCTCGACTTCATGCATATTGAGAAAAATTTCTTCGACAATCTCATCAACATGGTGTTAAATGTTTTGGGGAAAACAAAAGATACCGTCAAATCAAGAATCGATCTTCCTTTGTTTTGCCAAAGAACCGACTTAGAGGTTACTCGAGATGGAAAAGTTCTTATTCCTATCTTCAGATTGTCAAAGGAAGGAAAAGAAAAATTTCTCACATGGTTGAAGAACGATATTAAATTTTCTGAAGGATACGTTTCAAAGTTTTCACGTTGTGTTATTGTGAATAGTGGGTAGATATCAGGTCTAAAAAGCCATGACTGTCATGTCATCATGCAACGGCTTCTCCCAGTCGCCTTTACGGAGCTGCTTCTAGAAAATGTTCACACGGCAATATCAGGTACTAAATTCTTTTAAATTGATATTTTAATATAGTTAATTGATGCCATTAATTAACTGATTTTCTTATATGTATGTAGATATTGAACTCTTCTTTCGGGACATATCAACAAAAATTCTAGAGATCAAAGATGTTGCTAAACTAAAAGAAACTATTGCCGAGAAGCTTTGCAATCTTGAGATGATCTTTCCTCCATCGTTCTCTTATGTAATGGAACATCTACATGTGCATTTTCCAGATGAAGCTGATTTAGGTGGTCCGGTCAAATATAGGTGGATGTATCCGTTTGAACGATTTATGTATCATCTGAAGAAAAAGGTTAAAAACAAGGCACAAATTGGAGGGTCGATAGTTTCTCAATGTGTGACCGAAAATATTTATGTGACAGCCGAATATATTATCCCTTTAGAAGGTTCTGAGCCCTTAGAAGATTTCCATGATGTGCGATTCATATACAAAGTTAGTTGTGGCTATGTTGTGGCAAGATAGCTACAAATAGCGAGAGTCACTGGATTATAATCATGTCAAGTTGTGGCTATCGTCAAAATAGCCACAGAATATAGACTATAGCCACAACTGAATTAGTGCCCATTTACAGTTTTTCTTGTAGTGATGTGAGTCACTCTTTCTATATTTTTAGAGAGAGACTAGGTTAAATCCCGCGCGATGCGCGGATGGTGTTGTTACATTTTCTCATTTAGTTTATTTTTTATTTTTTGTAAAATTTACTTTTTAAAAATAACTAATAATATGATAGTTTCTCAGATCCAATGTTTCTTTAGTTTCTCGAGTTATTTCCACCACTCATTCATTTTCTCTCTTTAAATCACTTATAAGTCATAATTCCAACATCATACATAGATTTGGTAGAACTTTTTAAATAACATTGATCGTATGTGTATTTTGTAAAGTAAGTGAAACACTAACCTATTCAGGAAAACGAAAGTCACAAAATGGTTGAATGTATCATCAACTTTTATTTTTATGTTCTTCTTCACCTCAGTGAAGCTAAATTGTCAATTTAAAAAAAAAAAAAAACAGTATATATTTCAATTACTTGATGATGTAATTGCCTATGTGATGTCATAATTTTCACATAAATCAAGACTTTTGTATTTGTGTTAGAGTTACAAATATATTCACAATTCATTATATACTTTTCTTAACTTTTACTTCCTCTTTAATGATTTTTAGTTTTATATTCTTTTAAAAAATATATTTAAAATTGAGAAAATTCATCTTAATTTTTTTTTATATAGTTTGCTTCTAAATCATTTTCATATTATATACACTTCATTTTTGTTTTGTTTTTTAAAGATAAATTTTGTCAGTTTCAATGCATTTTTTATCAAAGAATACTAATTAATTGTAACTTGCAAGAAAATAAATTAAAAATATTTAATTGTGATTGGTTCAAAAAATATTAAAAATAGTTAATGATATATTTATTTTTTATTTTTAATATAATTTATTAATATGTGTAAAATCTATTAAAATTCTTTTTTTTTAAACAGAGAGATTATATTTTTGTTCTGTTTAGTGAAGGCTTATACAACTAATGTTTTTGTATAATTTATTTTTAAACATATTTCATATTGTATTACTTTGCTGTATTTTCATTTTATAAGACCGATTTCCATAGTTTCTATATAAGCTATTAAATAATATAGAAATATTTTTTGGGGGTTAAATATTTAGTTTTAAACCAATTTTTTGATTCTCGATAAACGTTATAGAAAAATTAAAGTGAAGCATTGATAATGTAGATGTAGTTCAATATAACACAAATATTTTAAAATCATTAAGAAAATAGAAACATGACATAATGTCACATAATATAACACAATTATTTCAAAATCATACAAACAATCGGATTATATTTTTCTACTTAAAATCTCTATTGTCGAAAATACTAAAAATATACTGTCTTTTCTTATTAATTGTTTTATTCTTTGTATCGATCTCTTGCTATTAAAAATGCATAACATATTTCTTCAAAACCTCAAACATAACTACTTCTTCACAAAGAAAGAACTGTTTGAAGAACCAAAAAGTTTTGTTTTGTAAGAAATGAAAAAATAGCATCAGATTTAAAACATACACTGAAGATTTGCCTAACCATAAAGTAGAAAAGTCTCGGGAAATCAACTCGTTCTTTCATTCTTCCTCCCTGAGAGTTTGAGACTTAAGCCACATGGTGGGTTAAAGCAGAGACAGTTGATCAGGCAGATTTGCTTAGTAGGATCTGAGTGGCTGAGGAGAGCGACTAAAGTTTGATTGATGCATCGCAAGTAGTTGGTTATGAGTATCAGGTCTCTTGGAATGGGGCAATTTTGGTTCGTGGTCGGGTTTGCGTGCCTAAGGTAGAGGAGTTAAGAAAATAGATTTTGAGGGATGCTTATGCGAGCAAGTTCTCAATTCATCTAGGAGCGACTAAGATATATCATGATATCAAGAAATATTATCAATGGGTCGGGATGAAAAGAGATATAATTGACTGGGTATTGAAGTGCAACATGTGTTCGTTGGTTAAGGCTGAGCATTAAGTTCCGGGTGGTCTTCTGCAGAGTTTGCCCATTCCAGAGTGGAAGTGGGATAGTATCACGATGGATTTAATTTGTTGTGGGCTTACCTATCTCGCGGACGTACAATGCTATATGGGTGATTGTGGACCGATTGACTAAGTCGGCACATTTTCTGGCCATTAAGAAGACAGATGGAGCGGCTGTTTTGGTTAAGAAGTTCGTGAAGGAGATAGTGAGGCTGCATGGTGTGCCTGCCAATATTGTGTCAGACAGAAATCCCAGATTTTCTTCAGAGTTTTGGAGAGCTTTTCAGGCAGAGGTGGGCACTAAGGTGCATATGAGTACATCATATCATCCGCAGACTGATGGGCAGTCAGAGAGGACTATTCAGGCCTTGGAGGATTTACTTAGGATGTGTGTGCTAGACTGGGGTGGCCATTGGGTAGACCACTTGAGCTTGGTCGAGTTTGCTTATAACAACAACTTTCAGGCGAGTATCGGCATGACCTCTTTTGAGGCTTTGTATGGGAGGCCGTGTAGGACACCTTTATGATGGACTTAAGTGGGGGAAGCAGAGTATTCATGGAGCTACTTATGTTCAGGAAATGACGGAGAAGGTATGTGTTTTGAGGCTGAACATGAAGGAAGCTCGGGATAGACATAAGAGTTGTGCGGATAGGACGATGCGAGAGCTTGAGTTTGAGGTTGGAGATCGTGTGTATTTCAAGATGGTTATGTTGAGGGGCCCTAACAGATCCATAGCAGAGAACAAGCTGAGTCTGCGGTTTATGAATCTGTTTCCGGTAGTGGAGCGAGTTGGTATCGGCTTGAGTTACCTCCAATTATGAAGACATTTGATAAGGTGTTTCACGTCTCCATGTTGAGGAAGTGCCTACATCCTTCGTAGGAGTTAGTGGCTAGGATACATGAGGATCTTAGACCAATTTGACAGTTTTGGTGGTTCCTGTGAGGATTCTCGAGAGGAGAGTCAAGGTTTTACGTCACAAGAAGATACCGTTACTGAGATTTTTGTGGGATTGTAGCGATACAGAGGATGAGACTTGGGAGCCTGAGGCAAAGATGAAGCTGAAGTTCAGGAAGTGGTTCGACAAGCAGGTCGTGGAGTGAGCTTCTTTCATCTTTGTGGTCCTAGTTGTTTAGCCTTGTGCTATGTTGTTATTATATTTCCGTTTTCGTTGTAATGATATACATTTTGAAGATTTATGAGATGGAGTTTTTCCTTAGATCCCTCTGTTATCGAATGGTGTTTTCGGATGTTACGAATCATTGACCGGTATGGGTCGTCTTTGTATGATATTAATCAGATATTTTATAGGCGTTCCAAAATTATTACTCTAGGGAATGTGGTGTTCCCGAATAACTCACTACAAATTTTGGAGATGGTTGTTCTCCGGCAGACTTGTCTAGGACCAGTGGGTCCTAGTATAGTGTTTAGGGATGCGTATTTATTGGTGACAAGTGGGTCGCGATATGAATATCAAAAAAATAGTGGTTCTCTTGAAGAGATGGTGGTTCTCCTGCATTTCCTTCGAGACAGTGGTTCTCCGATGGGTTTATCTGGGATAAGTGGGTCTCATCATAAGTATTGTGATAATGAGTTAACAGTAATAGATGTCTGATAACGTGTGTATAACAGGACTGTGGTCTTTAGTAGACATGTTTCATTAGGATTTAAGGTCGAATCCAATTAAGTGGCGGGGAGGGGGAGAATTGTAACATCCGCAAATCGATTTGTCACTTTTTGGCTTTGGTGTCGAGCGACACCGGTTTAGAGAAGCAATTTCGGTTCAATTTTAATTGGCCGGTTTTGTGGTTTGGATTAAGGGAAACCCTAAATCGCGTTTTTGTAAAGAAGAAGTTGTCTTCTTCGTGGTGTGAAGCAGAAAGAGGCAGAAAAGAAGAGGAGTGTAGATTTCAGGGTGAAACCCGAGTTCTTGGATCGTACTGAAGGTATATTCGTCATTGTTCATCGCTATCTCTCGTTTCTCTCCCGTTTCAATCCGTTTTCGAGGTGACTGTGTGTCCGTAGGCTCATATATGCCAGATCGAATGATTGTGTGATTCATTTGTGTGATGATTGTCATTTATATTATGTTTGATCATGTTATGCGTGATGAATTGATGTATTTTTGTGTTTTTTGCATTGTTCTTCATTTTGGGTTTTCGATTTGCGAGCTGGTGTCGGTCGACACCAAGAGGTGAATGTGGACCGACACTTTATGGGTATCGCTCAACACTTAGGTTTCCTGCGGTTAATTGTTTTATGTTATTTATTGTTTATTGGCTAGTATGTGCGTATTTGGCATGTAAATGGGAGGACTGTTTCACTAAGTATTTATTAAATACTTATGCATCTTTTTTCCCATGTGATGTAGGCAAAAGAAATGTGTGATCGCGCAATTAAGGCTGGAGAAGAGGATAATAGGATGTTAGAGTTTTTAATTGTTTCTTTTGTTAGTAAATGGAACTTCGTGTTTTGCTGGAGAAGAGGGAGAATTGTAACATCCGCTAATCGATTTGTCACTTTTTGGCTTTGGTGTCGAGCAACACCGGTTTAGAGAAGTAATTTCGGTTCAATTTTAATTGACCGGTTTTGTGGTTTGGATTAAGGGAAACCCTAAATCGCATTTTTGTAAAGAAGAAGTTGTCTTCTTCGTGGTGTGAAGCAGAAAGAGGCAGAAAAGAAGAGGAGTGTAGATTTCAGGGTGAAACCCGAGTTCTTGGATCGTACTGAAGGTATGTTCGTCATTGTTCATCGCTATCTCTCGTTTCTCTCCCGTTTCAATCCGTTTTCGAGGTGACTGTGTGTCCGTAGGTTCATATATGCTAGATCGAATGATTGTGTGATTCATTTGTGTTATGATTGTCATTTATATTGTGTTTGATCGTGTTATGCGTGCTGAATTGATGTATTTTTGTGTTTTTTGCATTGTTCTTCATTCTGGGTTTTCGATTTGCAAGCTGGTGTCGGTTGACACCAAGGGGTGAGTGTCGACCGACACTTTATGGGTATCGCTCAACACTTGGGTTTCCTGCGGTTAATTGTTTTATGTTATTTATTGTTTATTGGCTAGTATGTGCGTATTTGGCATGTAGACGGGAGGACTGTTTCACTAAGTATTTATTAAATACTTATACATCTTTTTTCCCATGTGATGTAGGCAAAAGAAATGTGTGATCGCGCAATTAAGGCTGGAGAAGAGGATAATAGGATGTTAGAGTTTTTAATTGTTTCTTTTGTTAGTAAATGAAACTTCGTGTTTTGGTTGCTAGCTTTTTATTATTCTAGAACTAATTTGTTGGTTGAATTAATTATTTATTTATTGATTTACTTTTAAGATTTCCGCATTGTTAGAATTGATGTTAGCTGTTGAGAATTAATATTTAAGAATTTTTAATTCTCTATATTTAAAAAAGGCTTGGTGGTTTCATTAAACACTAGACCAATGCCCGTGCATACGCGAAGATTTTTCTGTTGTTATAGTTTAAAAGAATACTATAAAACAAATTATGAATTTGTTACTTGTATTTTAATATGATATGTAATATTATAAATTTGAAATAAAAAAACCCCACAATTTAATTTCAAACTTATTTGTTTAGCAATTGATTTTCAAATATATGTTTTTGCATAATATCACACGTCCTCTCAACTCTATGTGTTTATTCATCCAACCCTCTCCATATATGTGACATGTGGACACCCTTGTGATTCACACATGACATGACCTTTTATTTTTCTTTCAATTAATAATATTAAATTTTATTTATTTGCTAAACATAATAGTTCGTATTATGAAGAACAAATATCAATTGTTATTACTTCTAAGTCTAAGATCAAAATCATTCTACCTTCTAAGAATGATTTTTTTTTGTTTCATTTGTAAAGTTTTGTCTTCTCAATTTAGGTTTACATCATTCTAGTTAGTATTTAATTATTTATTTTATACATAATGTATTTCTACTACATATATACCATATTCTTAGTTTATCTATTACATTACAGATCTTATTGGGACATTGGTTAAGGTTTCGAATATAGAAATCTTAAACGATGTATCAAGGTATTATAGCAGTGAAACAACTATCAAATCCATACGTTTCTCACTCCTTCATATTGAGTAAATATTATATACTAGGTGGTTGTCCCGCACCCTTGTGCGGGTACAATACTTTTTAAATAAAAGTTAATTAAAAAAATTAATAATATAAATAGTAGAATTTTTGATTATATACAATTTTTGTTTTTGCCAATTTCTTATTTCTGTAAATTTGATATGTCTTATTTTTATCTTCTCTTTCTTGTTCTTCTATATAATTTTCTTCATTATTTTAGAAAGATACAAAAGATTTCTTACTTCTTATTTTGTTCTCTTTTATCTTCTCTAATTATCTCACATTCTTATTTTTCTTTCAATTTTATGTTCGTTCTCATCACCTTTTTATTTTTCTTCTTCCAATTTTTGTTCTTAATTCTTTTCTTATATCTTCCAACTCACTTTTCTTCTTTTTCTTTCTAATTTTATTTACATTTTTTTTTTCGGTGTTTCTTCTTCCTCATATAATTCTAGTGTTTAGTTATCCATTTTTTTTTCTTTTTTTTTCTTCACATATTATTTTTTATTCTTCGATTTCTTTTTCCTCATATTCGAGTTTTCTTCTTCTTCTCCATTCGTCTAAAGAGATACAAAAGATTTTCCACTTCTTATGTGTTCTCTTTTATTCTTCTCTAATGATCTCACTCTCTTCTTTTTCTTTCAATTTTATATTCGTTCTCGTCATGTTTGTCTTTTTCTTCTTCCAATTTTTATCTTCAATCTTTTCTTATATCTTCCAGCTCACTATTCTTCTTTTTCTTTCTAATTTTCTTTACATTTTTTTTCCGGTTTTTCTTCTTCCTCATTCTCCTCTCTCTATCTTTATCATCTTCGTCTTCTCTAACATCATATTATTCTTGTTTTTATTTATGTCTTGTTTGTCTTTTTTTTCCTTCAAATTTCATTTTTTCTTCTTTGATTTCTTTTTCTTCATATTTGAGTTTTTTTTTTCTTTTCCAAATTTCCCATCTTCTTTTTATTGTCTTCTTGTATTTTACTTGTTATTTTATTCGTTCTTGTCTACGTCTTGTATTTCACCTATTAATTCATTCGATAATTTATATTTTCAAGAATTTGTGAAATAGTTTTTATCTTTATATAGTCGAGATCTTTTAAAAATATATTGGTTTTGTTATCTTTCCATTCTGGATTTGCTTTAATTGTTAATTATTCTATTTGTGAATGTAATTTAGAAAGGTGGATATAAATTTATAATCATTGATTTTTCATTATGATATTCTTCCATTCAAATGTTTAAAGTGCACCAAAAACTTAACCCTACACCCTACATCCTAAACCCAAGCCCCAGAGCGTAACACCAACCCTTAAACAAACCTACACCCAAAATCTGAACCTCCCAGTGTAACACCCCTCCCCCCTCCTCCTCTTCCCCCCCCCCTCCAAATCGCACACCCAAACCCATATTTTACAAATTAGTTTTAAATTTGCTTTTATTTTATTTTTGCGGGCAGGAGATATTTTAAAACTTCATTCTTTTCTACTCCCTCTATTTCAATATATAAGCAGTTTAGAAAATAATTTGTTTCAAAATAGAAACAGTTTACACATTTCAATGCAACTTTTACTTTATCAAATATTGTGTGACCAATTATATTATGCTGTTATGATTTTTCAAATTATATTTTATTTCTATTTTAAACGATATTTTATTTTTAAGTAATTTTCCGTATTTATGTTTTATATCCAAAACTGTTTATAAATAAGGATAAAAGGAGTATTTATATTAGATTAACGCATTTTTTTAATTACTTTTCATATTTGTGTAATGTGGGAGAGAGGGAGTACTTATTTTCCAAAAAATAATAGCTTAACATTTTGTTAATTTGATATGAACTTAGAAATTGTGAAAACAGATAAATATCATTAAATTATGTAATAATTGTTTTCTTCTCCATCTTATTTTCCTCTATTGATCTTTTCTTCTTCTTTTTCTTCCATCTTTTTATTAGTTGTCATCATTTTTTTTCTTCTTCTTCTTCAAGTTTTTGTTCTTCAAATTTTTTCTGTTTCTTCATATTCTCCAACTCATTATTCTTCTTTTTTTTATTTCTAATTTTCTTACATTTATTTTACAGTTTTTCTTCTTCCTCATTCCTTCTCTCTCTTTATCTTTATCATCTTCGTCTTCTCTCACATCATTTTATTTTAGTTTTTATTTATCTCTTCTTTTTTTTTCTCATCACATTCCTTTTTTTCTTCATTGTTTTCTTTTTCTTCATGTTCGAGTTTTCTTCTTCTCTAAATTTCCCATCTTCGTTTCTTTTACTCGTATTTTTGTTCCTTCTTGTTTACGTCTTGTATTTCACATATTTTTATCTTTATATAGTCTAAATCTTTTAAATATCTATTTATGTTGTTATATTTTGTTTCAGGATTTCAATTTTTTTATTTTTTTTCTATTTGTGAATGTATTTTAGAATGGTAGATATAAATTTATAATCAATGATTTTTAATTTTGATGTACTTTCATAATAATTCAAAATTTTAAAAATGCACAAATAACTAAACCCTACACCCATCAATATAAACCCTAAACCCAAACCCAACATTATAACTTTCCCCATAAACAACTCTATACCCTAAACCCAAACCCCACATTATAACACCCGCCCCCTCTAAACAACCCTAAACCCACACCCACATTATAACAAATCACCCCTCCCCCTAAACAACTTTACACCCTAAACTAACACCTACATTATACCCTCTCTTAACCACACACATGAACCCCACATTACAAACTGGTTTTGGATTTACTTTTATTTTCTTTTTATTTTTTTGAAAAAGTTTTTCATTTTGTAATGGTTGTTTTCGTCTCCCTCTTATTCTTCTCTAGTGATCACATCTTCTTCTTTTTCTTCAATTTGTTTATTCCTTGTCATCATCCTTTTTATTACTTATTCTTCTTCTTCTTTCAATTTTTATTCTTCAGTCTTTTCTTGTTTCTTTACATCCTTTAATTCACTATTTTTCTTTTTTATTTCTAATTTTCTTTATATTTATTTTCCGGTTTTCTTCTTCTTGATTCCCCCATCTCTCTATCTTTATCATCTTCTGTGGCATCATCTTATTCCCCCATCTCTCTATCTTTATCATCTTCATCTTCTGTGGCATCATCTTATTCCAATTTTTATCTTTTGATTTTGTCAACTTATTCTTTGTTCACATATTCTTCAACTCTTTTTTTTTTCTGGTTTTGTGTTTATCATTTCCGTCTTCACCTTTTTCTTTTTCTCATCTTCATCTTCCAAACTTTCTTCTTCTTCTACTCCACCTACTCTAAATGTTATTCATATTTCTTCATCATATGGCTTTTTATTTATATTCTATTTCTTTATTTATAATTTTTTCTCCGACATTAATAACGTCTAATCTTGTCAAGAATCGTTTCTCATTTACAAATATAAAATTAAAAAAAAACAGAATTTTTTGACAATCATCCAACAATCTACATATAGATTTTCAAGGTCCGATAAGTGAAAAGATCTCTTAAGTTTTTAAAAAACATATAGACTTTCAAGGATTATTTTCATATATATTTTTATTATTCCCAATTTTTTCATGATGTTTATTCTCCCTGATGGACAAAGCCATTTAAGTTATTTCAAAATAAATTTCTTGAAAGAACAATTTAAACTCCAACGATTTCATCTTCTTCGTCATTGTTCTTTCCTTCATGTTTTTTCTTTACTTTTCATATTACATTTATTTATCAGATTCAAATAAAATATTAAATAATTTAGTTATTTTTCTATGTCTTTTTTTGTAAATGTGTTCATGAACTATATTTTTTTAATACACACAAAACTAAACTCTATACCCACCAATATCAACTCTATATTTTAAACCCTAACCCTGCAATAACCCTCCCCTTCCCTCTCCATCAACACTACACCATAACCAATACTCGGATCATTTTGAATTGTCTAATAATCTTCAGAACCGTTAACACATGTGCTCAGTCTGAGGCCTCTATCCATCTTTAATCCGGATATTGTATGCCTTCACATTTTCTACCTTAACCATATCTAGCTCCAAACAATTATACCACTCTATCATCAAACTAAAAGTAGGCTAAACAATCTTAAATGTTAATCATATAGTTCATTACTCTATCTGATCAGCGGAGAAGCTACACGATCCCTTGTCTTCTCTTCGCGTCCAACTGCTTTAAAACTTCCTATCTCATCGAGCATTGAACGAATTCAGTCTTGCGACACCGACAATGCACATCTAAATGATATGTCTTTCCTTATTCAGTCAACAGACTGAGCACTATGAGAGAACCACAAGCTCACATCCGAACCCAAGAAGGACAACACGGTGGATATTAAACCAAGAACATATTTTGGAGGCAAAATCACATATATTATGAATCAACAATTACCCACAAAAGCTTAGGCCGTAAGAAACAATGTCCACAAGCTCACAAATCAATTACGTAAACGGCATTCGTAAACCAGTCTTGCTTACCAGTGACAACGACATGTTCTACTCAATGCAACAACAGCTCAAAGGTGGAGGGAGGTAACTTGGATCACGATTCTCCTAATAATAACTTGGATGAAATTTTCCACCATTCACTCTCTCATGAAAAATAAGCGGAGACATGGCGACGATGAGCGTAAAAGAGGTCAGCTTCCACTCGACGACTTCACGAAAGACGGTGGTGTCTAGGAGTAGATGGGCGACGGAAGACGGTGGCTTTGGTGATTACACTTTCTCGGCTTCCTCACGTACATTTCTCTTCTTTTTTGGTAAAAAAAAATTAGAGAATTTTGTGTTCTTCTCTCAACCAAAAAAAAAACCATGTGATCATTTTTATACACTCGTTACAACAGAAGAACCCGAGTCCTTCATGAGACGTAGACCGACGCTTTCCACATCATTGTCCCATAGCTGGACCTTTTCCTGATGATCGTGTAAAATTATGGCACGTGTTTCTTTGGAAACTGAGAAATATGTACCACTTGAGCCTTTAACGCGGATTGGAAACATTGCCGGTCTTTGCCATCTGCCCATCTCCGATCAAATATTTAGGACAAAACTGAGGGCTCTAAACTGCTATTTGCTGCAAGATATTCGAAACTAACATAACCATCATCAAACTCTAGTGGAGATAATAGTATTTCAAAATCAAGTCAAAGAATTTATGAAACAATCAATCAAATATATTTCGTAAAAGAAGAGTCATAGAAAATCGGCACATATGAATCAAAATTGGTTGTTACCTGATGTGTCACATATACACAGTTCGTAATCTTCTTATTAAAAGAATCATAGAAAATCGGCACATATGAATCAAAATTGGTTGTTACCTGATGTGTCACATATACACAGTACGTAATCTTCTTATTAAAACATGAGCTCAACCCTTAAAAAGCACCCTGACAAAAACGTTGTTTTTCTACCTCTAATATCTACTTTCTTTTTGGAGGTTTAGATTTTCTGTTACGGCAATGAGAGTTTGTAGTGGTGGGCTCTTCTCCACGTAACTTAATAACTTGAGTAAGAAATTTTACCAGACCACTATTCGTAAGACTAACCGATAACAACTAATTCATGGATCTGTTTCAGCAAAGGAAGATTACTCCATAGTCAAATCCCAAAGCAGCCTTAACATCTAATCCATTGTACTAACTCGAATTCCTTGAAATCAGGAGCTGTAGAGCCCTTTGTTGATCTTCTTTTTTCACTTGTGCAGTAAGCTTTTCCTGCCTAGATCAAAGGTAGGGTTTACTTAAGCCACTTTACGTCTAGCAAAAAATTGACTTATGAACTACGGTATGGCTATCATCGGCGGAAGAAAACTATGTTCATATCATGGAGAGAGATTTAGGGTTAAATATATATAGTGTATATATAGATTTCTAGAGGTTTAACTTTTTTTAAATAGTAGTGATTATCCTAAATAATATATGCGATTGTATAAAAGGATAATAGTAATGTTTACTTTTTATCAAAAAAAATTAAAAAATAAAAATAAAAATATTCATGAGATTTTCATTAAGGGTATATGGGTAATCAACCAGCTGAGAGTTAACGTGGTGGCTGGAAACGAAATTTTCACTTCGCAAATAATATATTAGATTGTGTTGTACATTATTTTTTCACATATTAATAATATATATATATATATATATATATATTCATATAATTATTTTTTTGTATTAGTTTTCATCAAGTAAATTATGTTGCCTACGGAGACACTGCAAGTGTAATTGATGAATATTGGTGATACGAAGATGAGTTGATTATGATATGCGTTACTACAATCATCCACGTAAATAGACAATGAATACTGTCCAAACAGGCTGCGGATTTCAGGCCCATCCGCAGGGCAGAGCGTCCACACCCAACTTACTAAAACGTCGTTGTAACAACGCTCTAGCAGACTTATTATGTGATAACCTATAACGGTGGCAAAAACAATCAAAGCCGCCCCGATAAAGACTTCGCCTGACAACGAGCTCCGGAACATCGAACAACCGCCACTTTGGGATCAGAGGATTCCCAAAATCATGCATATGCGGCCGCCCAATTGCGCTTTTTACCTCCAAAACGCAAGACAATCCTGGCCGCCCTTTCTACAAGTGCGAGACACATAGAGATGTAAGGAACTCTATACTCTTCCCTCCGACAATTGCGAATACTAATTATTCCCCGTTTTAGGATCACTACTTTAGATGGGTAGAAGAATGGACGCTAGACGAACTTCAAGATGTTCTTGCCAAAATCGACAGGCCAGAGGTTCACATCGGTTCGAGTAGCTCAGATCTAGAAGACTTGAAAGAGCTTGTTCAAGAGTTAAGTGACACTACAATACAGCTTTCTCGGGATGTCCAGAGATCGAAGCTCATTGCAATCTCCTCAACCGGATTACTAATCTTAGTCATTGCTGCATTAGCCTACTTCAAATTTAGAACAATCTTTTTCTAGTTTTTGAGTATTGTGGTCAGGACATTAGCTTCTGTGTTGTAGTGTGTATTGTTTTCAGAACAACAACATTAGCCTACCTTAATCAATGGAAATCGCTTTCATTTACAACAAAACAATGTGAATCAATTACTCATCACACACCAACACATTGCAATAAAACAAATACGCCATACATGAATTAAGAATGTTTCACTATGCCATTTAATATCCATAAATCAACCAAAAGCAGAGGCTAATAGGGGAGAACTCAAAATACAACCAACAACGTCACAAATTGTATTACCAAAAACAACCAGATATATTACCAAAAATAACAAAACAACTACAGCCAGTTGCTGAACCGTTAAAGGCATTACAAAACATCAACCACAATGATTGAGAGGTTAGAAAGGTATCCAACCAGATGATCAACAAAAGAGCAAACGCAATTGAGTCCATAACTCAAACTTTTGTAAAAAGCTGGATACCAAAACAATCAAAATCCGGAGGGCTGGCTGCATGTTGTACTGATATATATGACCTTCTTTCTGGCAACGACTACATCGGTTCGGAACCACCTTCCTAGTCTTGGAAACCAATATCCAAGTGAAAAGACTACATATATAGGGATTACAACATCATTTGTCCAAAACATTACAGGTAAACCAATTACCGGAATTTCGCCTGTTGAGGGGATCCTTTTTCTCTTCCGACGGCCTAACAATCTTCGGTTCCTAGGAGGCATCAGCTCCAGCTTCGATAAATCGGCAGGCAGTACCTCATCAGCGGAGTTACCCTCAGGGCAAACATATTCACAATACGTCGTTTGCCAAACGTTTGGTTTGAACACATGACCAGCCAAAGTGCTTGGAAGCAAACCAAGTGAGTCGCCAGCCAGTAAAGCATGACTGCATGGGATCTTTAGCCGGTCGTATTCTTACACGAACATTTCTTTTCTTTGAGATTTACCAGATTTCTCTCACCAAATTTCCCAACAACTTGACATGTCCAATTAGAGACAAGGTTAACGGTGCTACCAACGACCTCCTTCTTATGTATCATCATTTGTTTCTCAACCTCCCCCTAACTTATATGGTTGTTTTCGCTTTATTGTTACTTGTTTTTTATTTCAACTTTGACTTTGCTTTTGCCATTATCAACAAGATTTAAATTTCACAAATACCTTCAGCAATGAACTTTCACATGTATATGTTGAAAAAGTATTGTGATGTTCGTTTGGAAATTGAAAAATCAAGGGCTACTGATGCAGTAGTAGATCACAAACTGGGACGGGGTTTTCTCTACAAAGAAATATATTACTAGAAACTTCTTTAAGATAACTTACAAGTATATGCTTAAACGAACTCAACAATCACGATCTATCCACGATTGCTTGTTGTTCTAGTAACTCTCACGTTCTCAGATCTATCCACGATCTTTGAACCTCTCAAACCCTAGCCCCCTTTGTCCTAGCTTTCTTACAAGAAATCTAAACCCAAATATGCTAAAGCTCTCAAGTTTGTGATAGCCGCTTCCAAGCAGCCAAGGCCTCTATTTATCCACAATAGACGAGCTGTGAAACCCTACAAGGTTTCGGCCTTGGTGATTACTCCAAATCTCCAAGGGAATATTTCCTTTCCTTATTTTTCTCTAAGAATAGGAAATATTCTTTTGTCTTGATAATTCCAAATCTCCTCATCCAGCTCAGCTACCGCCTCTTCTGGATTCGTCCTTAACCGCTACAAGCTCGCATCCAGCTCAGCACATTCCTTTAGCTCCGTTAAGCTCCACTTAGCTCCGCTACAAGTCCGTCCACACGTCCTGATGCACTTCCTGACTGATTCACGATCTGCGTCAATCCAGCTGCATCTTCAATCTCCCCCTTTTTAGCTTTGTGTCTCTCAAGCACCTATAAAACTCAAATCCGCAATGCATATACCAGAGATGACCAGAATACTGGGATGATCTGAATACTTCAACATTAGTCATAGAAATATTAAACATGATTCAGAACAAGAGTTAAATCCAAAAGATCAAAGAACTTTCAACTCTCAACTCCCCCAGAATTCTAGATCGAAAACTACTCAAAACAAGCAAACAAGATCAAAAGTCTTGCTCCCCCACAATTCTAGCTTAGATCCTAGTTTTCGTTCTCTGATACATCCTATTCTCCCCCTGCTTGTGAGCACACACAAGTTAAAAACACAAGATGGATAAACAGATTGAAATAGATTGTGCAGAAGGACAACTTACCTTGCAGATTGAACTATGTCAGTGAAACTCCGAAGGGACCTGTTTCCTGAAGAACTCTCTTGTTCCTTGGCACGAGAGAAACATCCGCATCACTCTGTTCTTCAACACTATGAGCATATCAAGTCTGATTAAGAGCGGATGACGAAACCTCTGGCTGTGTCAGATGGCGGATCAATCGATGGCTGCTTCTCGATTTGAGAAGACTACTTCGCTGTAGTTCGAAACGGTTGACCTAGTTGAAGTTCATCAAGAGACTCTGTTTCGCGAGCTTGTCGAGAGGGTGAAACGGCTGGTTTTGGATCTAACAGAGACATTGATGCGTCGGTCTGTTGTACCTCCGGCTCTGCTGGTTCAGAAACACCATCGGTGGTCACTACCAGAGATGTAGTGGTCGCTACTTCAGTCGCTCGTCAGTCGACGGCAGTGCTTGGAGATTGCTGGCTTGTAGATATGACGGCTGTTTCAAAACACCATTTAATCGGAATCAACATAAATCAGCCGGATTAATTTGGTTTAGAGACCCAGAATCCCTGTTTGATTTCCTGCAACACTTAGCACCAATATCAGCAGTACAACACAAGGATAAAATTGTGACAACCACATAAATTCGATTCAAGATAGAATCCAAACAAGTAATACCTCCCATGTGTCACATCTTTTCAGCTTAAAAACATTTTTACTCAGTTTATCTCAAATTAAATACCTTTCATTTTAGTGAAGGAGACATTGACTGAGTCGGCACTTGCATCAGGATGTATTACAAATTCTCAACAGATTCATAGCGCTTGGCCATCCTGATTCCAACCTGCAGCTTTCACTTTGTCATACCCAGATCATATCACCACCTCTAATTCCAATGATGTGCAAAGTGAAACTCTTTATTTTGTTCAAGGCAGAACATGTGATCATTCTCTGTCGTTGGATGTTGTTCTTGTGAAACATTACCCTTCGAGAAAGCTCATGGACCAACTCAGCCTTGTGAGCTATTGTTGTCAGTCCATCCCCTTTCCAATTAGCTCTTAGTTTGTCGTCAGACTTTGTTCTTGTGAAACATTGTCTTTCGAGAAATCACATGAACCAACTTAGCCTTGTGAGCTATTGTTGTCAGTTCATCACATTTCCTGTTATGCTCATTGAATCACTTTTTGGTTCTTGAAGCAGCAAGCCATCTCCATCATATTGCATTCATTTGGAGTTGGCTCAGCTGCTTTTTGACCTTGAACATGCTTTTAGAATCACTTACTTTTCACTTTTCTTATGTTGAGGTGACATGACGGCATGACAAAGTAGCTGATCCTCATTGGCACCTTTGACTCCAAACAAAATCTGAACTTGTTATACACCCCGAGCCAGTGCCTGTATCAGCCCCTGCATCATTCAAAACCACTTGTGCAAATTCCAATGGAATTTCTTAAGGTGACAAAACGGTTAAAGTCCAATGGTTTTGTGAATAAATCAGCGAGCTGTAAATCTGTGACAACATGTTCAAGTACTACCTGTTTTTCTTCCACCAATTCACGAACAAAGTGGTGTCTTATGTCAATGTGCTTAGTCCTTGAGTGCTGCACCGGATTCTTTGATATGTCGATGGCGCTTTTGTTGTCACAGTAGACCAAGAAGGGTCCAGACTCCATCCCATAATCGGCTGACATCTGTCTCATCCATATAAGCTGTGTGCAGCAGCTTCCCAATGCAATGTACTCAGCCTCTGCAGTAGATAGTGACACAGAATTCTGCTTCTTGCTAAGCCAAGCAATAAGATTGTTCCCAAGGAAGAAACAACCTCCACTTGTACTTTTCCGATCATCTGCACATCCTGCCCAATCGGCGTCACAATATCCAGCAAGATTTCTGTTGGATCCTTTAGGAGTAAAAGATCCCCAGATTGACAGTTCCCTTGACATACCTCAAGATCTTCTTCACCGCTTGAAGATGGGACTGTTTTGGTTTGGCCTGATAACGAGCACACACACCAACGCTGAAGCAAAGTCAGGCTTGCTGTAAGTAAAGCAAGCTTCCAATCATTCCTCTGTAAAGCTTCACATCAACATCTTCTCCTTGTTCATCCTTTCCAATCTTTGTGTGTGCTCATTGGTGTTCTTGCCTCCTTGCACTTTGTCAAGACCAAACTTCACCAGCAGATTCTTGGCATAGTGCTTTGAGAAATAAAGATTCTTTCTCAGTCTGATTTACTTGAAGTCCAAGAAAGTACTTCAATTCTCCCACCATGCTCATCTTGAACTCCTTTGTCATACTCTTCACGAAAGTTTTGCACCAGCTTCTCTGAAGTTCCTCCAAAGATGATATCATCTACATAGATCTGCACCATCATCATCTCATTTTCCTTCTCAAGTGTGAACAAGTCTTGTCCACAGTTCCTCTGATGTAGCCTGTGTCAATCAGAAACTTCGTCAATGCTCATACCAAGCTCTTGGAGCCTGTTTCAGTCCGTAGAGAGCTTTCTTCAGCTTATACACATACTCAGGATGTGTAGGATCTTCAAACCCTTCGGCTGAGCTACATATACTTCCTCTTGTAGAATGCCATTCAAGAAGGCACTCTTTACATCAATCTGATGAACTCTNTTCCCCGTTTTAGGATCACTACTTTAGATGGGTAGAAGAATGGACGCTAGACGAACTTCAAGATGTTCTTGCCAAAATCGACAGGCCAGAGGTTCACATCGGTTCGAGTAGCTCAGATCTAGAAGACTTGAAAGAGCTTGTTCAAGAGTTAAGTGACACTACAATACAGCTTTCTCGGGATGTCCAGAGATCGAAGCTCATTGCAATCTCCTCAACCGGATTACTAATCTTAGTCATTGCTGCATTAGCCTACTTCAAATTTAGAACAATCTTTTTCTAGTTTTTGAGTATTGTGGTCAGGACATTAGCTTCTGTGTTGTAGTGTGTATTGTTTTCAGAACAACAACATTAGCCTACCTTAATCAATGGAAATCGCTTTCATTTACAACAAAACAATGTGAATCAATTACTCATCACACACCAACACATTGCAATAAAACAAATACGCCATACATGAATTAAGAATGTTTCACTATGCCATTTAATATCCATAAATCAACCAAAAGCAGAGGCTAATAGGGGAGAACTCAAAATACAACCAACAACGTCACAAATTGTATTACCAAAAACAACCAGATATATTACCAAAAATAACAAAACAACTACAGCCAGTTGCTGAACCGTTAAAGGCATTACAAAACATCAACCACAATGATTGAGAGGTTAGAAAGGTATCCAACCAGATGATCAACAAAAGAGCAAACGCAATTGAGTCCATAACTCAAACTTTTGTAAAAAGCTGGATACCAAAACAATCAAAATCCGGAGGGCTGGCTGCATGTTGTACTGATATATATGACCTTCTTTCTGGCAACGACTACATCGGTTCGGAACCACCTTCCTAGTCTTGGAAACCAATATCCAAGTGAAAAGACTACATATATAGGGATTACAACATCATTTGTCCAAAACATTACAGGTAAACCAATTACCGGAATTTCGCCTGTTGAGGGGATCCTTTTTCTCTTCCGACGGCCTAACAATCTTCGGTTCCTAGGAGGCATCAGCTCCAGCTTCGATAAATCGGCAGGCAGTACCTCATCAGCGGAGTTACCCTCAGGGCAAACATATTCACAATACGTCGTTTGCCAAACGTTTGGTTTGAACACATGACCAGCCAAAGTGCTTGGAAGCAAACCAAGTGAGTCGCCAGCCAGTAAAGCATGACTGCATGGGATCTTTAGCCGGTCGTATTCTTACACGAACATTTCTTTTCTTTGAGATTTACCAGATTTCTCTCACCAAATTTCCCAACAACTTGACATGTCCAATTAGAGACAAGGTTAACGGTGCTACCAACGACCTCCTTCTTATGTATCATCATTTGTTTCTCAACCTCCCCCTAACTTATATGGTTGTTTTCGCTTTATTGTTACTTGTTTTTTATTTCAACTTTGACTTTGCTTTTGCCATTATCAACAAGATTTAAATTTCACAAATACCTTCAGCAATGAACTTTCACATGTATATGTTGAAAAAGTATTGTGATGTTCGTTTGGAAATTGAAAAATCAAGGGCTACTGATGCAGTAGTAGATCACAAACTAGGACGGGGTTTTCTCTACAAAGAAATATATTACTAGAAACTTCCTCAAGATAACTTACAAGTATATGCTTAAATGAACTCAACAAGCTCAAGACACCCTTGCCTTGTTGTTCTAGTAACTCTCACGTTCTCCGATCTATCAACGATCTTCGAACCTCTCAAACCCTAGCCCCCTTTGTCATAGCTTTCTTACAATAAATCTAAACCCAAATACGCTAAAGCTCTCAAGTTTGTGATAGCAGCCTACAAGCAGCCAGAGCACCCTAGTTATCCATAATAGGCGTGCCTAGAAACCCTACAAGGTTTCGGCCTTGGTGATTACTCCAAATCCCCAAGGGAATATTTCCTTTCCTTATTTTTCTCTAAGAATAGGAAATATTCGTTTTGTCTTGATCATGCCAAATCTCCTCATCCAGCTCAGTAAATGGATTCGTCCTTAACCGCTACAAGCTCAGCAACATTCCTTTAGGTCCGTTAAGCTCCACTTAGCTCCGCTATAAGTCCGTCCACATGTCTTGATGCACTTCCTGACTGATTCACGATCTGCGTCAATCCAGCTGCATCTTCAGTCTCCCCTTTTTTAGCTTTGTGTCTCTCAAGCACCTATAAAAACTCAAATCCGCAATGCATATACCAGAGATGACCAGAATACTGGAATGATCTGAATACTTCAACATTAGACATAGAAATATTAAACATGATTTAGAACATAGAGTTAAGTCCAAAAGATCCAACAACTTTTAACCCTCAACTCCCCCAGAATTCTAGATCGAAAACTACTCAAAACAGAGCAAACAAGATCAAAAGTCTTGCTCCCCCACAATTCTAGCTTAGATCCTAGTTTTCGTTCTCTGATACATCTATTCTCCCCCTGCTTGTGAGCACACACAAGTTAAAAACACAAGATGGATAACAGATTGAAATAGATTGTGCAGAAGGACAACTTACCTTGCAGATTGGCGATGTGGCCCTGAACTATGTCAGTGAAACTCGAAGGGACCTGTTTCCTGAAGAACTCTCTTGTTCCTTGGCACGAGAGAAACATCCGCATCACTCTGTTCTTAACACTTGAGCATATCAAGTCTGGTTAAGAGCGGATGACGAAACCTCTGGCTGTGTCAGATGGCGGATCAATCGATGGCTGCTTCTCGATTTGAGAAGACTACTTCTCTGTAGTTCGAAACGGTTGACCTAGTTGAAGTTCATCAAGAGACTCTGTTTCGCGAGTTTCGTCGAGAGGGTGAAACGGCTGGTTTGGATCTGACAGACATTGATGCGTCGGTCTGTTGTACCTCCGGCTCTGCTGGTTCAGAAACACAATCGGCGGTCACTACCAGAGATGTAGTGGTCGCTACTTCATTCGACGGCAAGTGCTTGGAGATTGCTGGCTTGTAGATCTGACGGCTGTTTCAAAACACCATTAATCGAAATGAATCAACATAAATCAGCCGGATTAATTTGGTTTAGAGACCCAGAATCCCTGTTTGATTTCCTGCAACACTTAGCACCAATATCAGCAGTACAACACAAGGACCCAAAATTGTGACAACCACATAAGATTCGATTCAAGTAGAATCCAAACATGTAATACTCTCCCATGTGTCACATCTATTCAGCTTAAAAACACTTTTACTCAGTTTATCTCAAATTAAATACCTTTCATTTTAGTGAAGGAGACATTGACTGAGTCGGCACTTGCATCAGGATGTATTACAAATTCTCAACAGATTCATAGCGCTTGGCCATCCTGATTCCAACCTGCAGCTTTCACTTTGTCATACCCAGATCATATCACCACCTCTAATTTCCAATGATGTGCAAAGTGAAACTCTTTATTTTGTTCAAGGCAGAACATGTGATTGATTCTCTGTCGTTGGATGTTGTTCTTGTGAAACATTACCCTTCGAGAAAGCTCATGGACCAACTCAGCCTTGTGAGTTGTTGTCAGTCCATCCCCTTTCCAATTAAGCTCTTAGTTATGTCGTCAGACTTTGTTCTTGTGAAACATTGTCTTTCGAGAAATCACATGAACCAACTTAGCCTTGTGAGCTATTGTTGTCAGTTCATCACATTTCCTGTTATGCTCATTGAATCACTTTTTGGTTCTTGAAGCAGCAAGCCATCTCCATCATATTGCATTCATTTGGAGTTGGCTCAGCTGCTTTTTGACCTTGAACATGCTTTTAGAATCACTTACTTTTCACTTTTCTTATGTTGAGGTGACATGACGGCATGACAAAGTAGCTGATCCTCATTGGCACCTTTGACTCCAAAAAAATCTGAACTTGTTATACACCCGAGCCAGTGCCTGTATCAGCCCCTGCATCATTCAAAACCACTTGTGCAAATTCCAATGGAATTTCTTAAGGTGACAAAACGGTTAAAGTCCAATAGTTTTGTGAATAAATCAGCGAGCTGTAAATCTGTGACAACATGTTCAAGTACTACCTGTTTTTCTTCCACCAATTCACGAACAAAGTGGTGTCTTATGTCAATGTGCTTAGTCCTTGAGTGCTGCACCGGATTCTTTGATATGTCAATGGCGCTTTTGTTGTCACAGTAGACCAAGAAGGGTCCAGACTCCATCCATAATCGGCTGACATCTGTCTCATCCATATAAGCTGTGTGCAGCAGCTTCCCAATGCAATGTACTCAGCCTCTGCAGTAGATAGTGACACAGAATTCTGCTTCTTATTAAGCCAAGCAATTAAGATTGTTCCCAAGGAAGAAACAACCTCCACTTGTACTTTTCCGATCATCTGCACATCCTGCCCAATCGGCGTCACAATATCCAGCAAGATTTCTGTTGGATCCTTTAGAGTAGAAGATCCCCAGATTGACAGTTCCCTTGACATCCTCAAGATCTTCTTCACTGCTTGAAGATGGGACTGTTTTGGTTTGGCTTGATACGAGCACACACACCAACGCTGAAGCATAAGTCAGGTTGTCTTGCTGTAAGGTAAGCAAGCTTCCCAATCATTCCTCTATAAAGCTTCACATCAACATCTTCTCCATGTTCATCCTTTCCAATCTTTGTGGTGTGCTCATTGGTGTTCTTGCCTCCTTGCACTTTTCAAGACCAAACTTCACCAGCAGATTCTTGGCATAGTATTTGAGAAATAAAGATACCTTCCTCAGTCTGATTACTTGAAGTCCAAGAAAGTACTTCAATTCTCCCACCATGCTCATCTTGAACTCCTTTGTCATACTCTTCACGAAGTTTTGCACCAGCTTCTCTGAAGTTCCTCCAAAGATGATATCATCTCATAGATCTGCACCATCATCATTCATTCTTCCTTCTCAAGTATGAACAAGTCTTGTCCACTGTTCCTCTTATGTAACCTGTGTCAGTCAGGAACTTCGTCAATCGCTCATACCAAGCTCTTGGAGCCTGTTTCAGTCCGTAAGAGCTTTCTTCAAGCTTTACACATACTCAGGATGTGTAGGATCTTCAAATCCCTTCGGCTGAGCTACATATACTTCCTCTTGTAGAATGCCATTCAAGAAAGCACTCTTTACATCATCTGATGAACTTGAAGTTCAGTATGCATGCCATACCCTAAAACAGTCTGATAGACTCCAAGTCCTGCTACAGGGGCAAAGTTTCATCAAAGTCGACTCCTTCAACTTGTGAGTAACCCTGAGCAACAAGTCTTGACTTATTTCGACAATGCAGCCAATATCATCTGTCTTATTCTTGAATATCCATTTTGTGCCGACCACATTCACACTATATGGTAGAGGCACCAGTTTCCAGATATCGTTTCTCACAAACTCCTCAAGTTCATATTCCATGGAGATAATCCAGGCTGCATCATCAAGTGCTTCAAGATGGTTCTCAGGCTCTATGGTTAACACAAATCATTCAAACTGGATTATTGCCATATTGACCATCTGCTTGAAATTCAGCTTGATTCCCCTTGTCTTTCGTCCTTCAGTTATGTCCCCAATCAGATCACTTGGTGAGTGATTTCTATGGAACTTCAGTCACTGGGTGTTCTACGGCAATGATGTACTTGCATTTTACATAGTTTTAGCACATCTTTTATGCATCTTTTGCATAGTTTTAGCTTTCTAGTTGTGTTTAAACCGGCAGGGGCAGTAGTTCTAGTTGTCTAGTTCTCTTGGGATTGTTTTCAGGCTAAGTTTGGGGGTGCCAACTCGAGCTCGATCGAGTTGGGTGTAAAAACCAGAAAAGTGGTAAAAGTTGGGAAAAACCCAAAGGAAAAAGAGTTTGGTTAAGTCCAGGGAGTTGGCAGTGTTTAAAAAGGGTCTAGTAAAGGTTTGGGAAGTTAAAAAAGGAAGTAAAAAGGGTTCTAAGTAGAATGAAAAGAAGGCAAAGCCTCAAGTGTCAAAAAGGAAAGAAAAGTTCCCTAAGTGTTTAGAAAATCCCAAACCGCTAGATGTTACCTCAAGAAGCCTCTCCCTAGGAAGTTCTTAAAAGAAAAGTGAGCAAAGCTCCTCAGTTTCAAAGGCGAAATGCCAAAAAGGGTAGTTAGGATTTTGTTCTAAAAAGCTCTAAGTGTTGAACTCGATCGAGTTAGGATTAGGCGGCTCGAGCTGCTGTTCTTGCATCATCTTTGGTTCTAACACTTAGCCTTCTGCCAAAGCAAAGCCACTTTCTTGAGAGATCCCTGTTACTAAACCACCATACAAAAGAGACCCTCTTTGTCTCTTAACCCATAAACCCTTGAAACCAAATGAGTTGATTGATCTTGCATGTTTTTGGTTCACTGTTTTTGCTTAATGAATGTTAAAGGGATTTGCTGATTTGAATGCATTGTTTGAGTGACTGTGAAGTGGGATTGATGTTGATAAGCATGGTTAAATCTTAATGAATATCTCTCACCTTGTTGCATTCTAGAATCTCTAAGTTGGACATTTAGCAAATCGCTTTTGAGGACATGTTTTTAAGTGTTGAATCAGCTTATTTTCAAACCTCATCTCTTTCTTGTTCTATTTGTTTGCTTGAGGGCAAGCAAAGTTCAAGTTTGGGGGTGTTGATGTACTTGCATTTTACATAGTTTTAGCACATCTTTTATGCATCTTTTGCATAGTTTTAGCTTCCATTTGCATCATATCTTGTTCCTTTTCTCTTCTTATGCATTCATGTTAGTTTTAGGTTGCATTTGCATACATATGCATGTTTGGTCCTTTGAAATAGGTCTTTTGGAGCATTCTGGAGCATATGGGACAAGGAGCATGGAGGGACTTGGCACATGGAAGCAGCTCAACTGGATACGCAAAGGAAGAAGGGAGAAGCCATCTTGAAGACCAGCTCGACCGTCCTACTCGACCAACCGGTCGAGTTCCTCAACTCGACCGGCCAAGCTTCAACTCGATCGAGCTGGAAGTCAAAGTCAAACCCGAAAAATGTTGCTTCCCCCTTGACTTCCTTTGACCCTAAACCTAATCCTCTTGTATTTAAAGGCTCTAAGCCACGAAAAAACCACCAAGCTTTAGATTATTTTGTTTTAGTTTCTTTTAATTTATTGTACTTTTACTTTTTAGAGATCTAATCCCATCTTTGTGTTCTTGAAGCTCTTGCTTCTTGAATCCTAGATCCTGGATAATCTCTTTGTATTTGCACTTGCTTATTTCAATAAAAGTTGTTTAATTTCATCTCCTCTTTCTTATGATGTCTCTTTTATTGCATTTGCTTGTGTTTACATTCATGTGTAGTGAGTAGTTACCCATTAGGGTTTGAGATGGGATAGATTAGAGGTTTCATATGCTTAATCCTTCTAGCTTATGGTCTTAATCTAGATTCTCTCTCTTTTGGATAGATCTTAAGGCTACATGACCACTACCCCTGGCTTGTAAGTCCTTAGGCGACTCCCCACACGAAAGTGATGGCATTCGCTGGAAAAGATCCACTAAGAGCTCCAATATCTCTTGCTCTAGACAATAGAGGTCTAAGGGGTTGGATGGATTAGTTTGGGCAATGATCCTATAGCCTCCAAGGTTTGATTCTCACTGGCTAACCCCCTGTTTCTGAGATCATTCCTTGGTTGATAGCCTCCACCTTGGGAAAGGGTTGGCTAGGCATTGAGAAGCCCAATATCAAGAGAAGCCTTGATACAAGGAGTTTTAAGAGCTAGATTGATTAAGTGTAGATTCCTTTGATTGCAAAACCCTGTCTTGAACCCTAATTCTCTCTTTATCTTGTTAAAGTCGTCACCTTTAGCTTTGTTTGTCTCAACTCGTCCCTAAACTCGATCGAGCTGGTACTTTGCTCTACTCGACTCGAGCTCTTGGTCGAGCTGACACTTCACTGCTTTGTTTACTTTTATTGCACTGCTTTTCATTTTTTTAGGTTGTTAGTGTTACTTCAAATCTATAACTGCTTGCTTGACTTTCTGGTTGTTTCATATTCTCAAAGAGTGACAAGTTTCCCATTTTGGATTGATAACCTCTTATACTTCAATGACTATGATGGTTAAGAGGAATTGATTGATTGTGTTTGCACCATACCATCATCATTACCACTGTTTGCATTCCACCTCATTTCATTCATTTCATATCACATCACACAAAATCCTATCATCAATTTGGCGCCGTTGCCGATTTGGGAATATTTTTGTTGCATTTGAGTTTCAAACACACTTGGACGATCAAGCTATACCACCCCTGTTCTATTGTACTGCTGGGTTTTTGTCTCTTTTTGCAGGTGTATGCGAACTCGATCGAGTCGGTCTACTGAAGACTTGGTCGAGCTAGACATTACAACGGGTAGAAAGAGGGTTCAGAGGTCACAGAGGGTACAAGAGGAACCTGAGGTGCTTGTTGCTGATACAATGGATGTACCAGAGGGGAATGGAAACCCTTTGGGTAATGGACTCGGTCGAGCTAGGCAAACTCGACCGATTGGTCAAGGAGATGCTCCAAACCGCCACCAACAGAGACAAGGGATTGTTCCACCACCAGTGCAGAACCACAACTTTGAGATCAAGCTGGGAATGATCAACCTTGTCCAGAACAAGATGTTCCATGGATTGCCAAGTGAAGACCCCATTGACCACCTTGATGAGTTTGATAGGCTTTGTGATTTGACAAAGATCAATGGTGTCTCTGAAGATGCCATCAAGCTGAGACTCTTTCCTATGTCTCTAGCTGACAAAGCTCACCAATGGGAGAAGAGCTTGCCCCATGGCACAATCACCACTTGGGATGAATGCAAGAAGGCCTTTCTTGCTAAGTTTTTCTCCACCGGTCGCACAGCCAAGCTTAGAGGAGAGATATCCAGCTTCATCCAGCGAAACAATGAGACATTCGCAGAGGCTTGGGAGAGGTTCAAAGGCTACACAAGTCAGTGCCCACACCATGGATTCAACAATGAATCCTACTCTCCACTCTTTATAGAGGATGCTTGCCTAGGTATAGGGAGATGCTAGACACAGCTAGCAATGGGAACTTCCTCAACCAGGATGTAGATGATGGCTGGCAACTTGTGGAGAACATAGCTAACTCAAATGGAAGCTATGGAGAAGAGTATGATCGCACCAACCGGAGCTCGACCCACCACTCGATCGAGTCAGACGAAAAGTTGAGAAAAGATGTTAAGGCATTGAATGAGAAGTTGGATAAGCTGATCCTAGCTCAGTCCACAATGAAGAAAGTCAACTTTGTGTCTGCTGAGGAGATGGAACCAGTCCAAGAAGGGGAGGATACACAATTTGCTGAGGTGTGCTACATGAGCAATGGGCAAGGAGGTTACAACAAAGGATACTATAACTACAAGTCCAACCCTGCCATGTCATACCGCAACACTGATGTTGCTAACCCTCAGGACCAAGTATATCCTCAACAACAAGCAGCTCGATCGAGTCAGGTGCCACAACATGGGTATGGTCAAAAGAACAATTACCAAGGACCACAAGGCACTTTCCCTGGACAACAAATGAATATCCCACCAGGCTTCCCCCACCAACCGCCCCAGCCTGCACCTTCACAAGAGAATGAGCTCAAGCAATGCTAAAGCAACTACTTCAAGGGCAAGCTGATGGGGTAGTGGACACAAGCAAGAAGCTAGCTGAAATAAACTCTAAGATCGAGAACCTCAACACAAGGGTTTACTCTCTGGAGAATCATGCTTCTTCTGTTGCTGCTGCTACAAAGCAAGGACAACTACCTGGTAAAGCTATTCAGAACCCCAAGGAACAGTGCAAGGTCATCTTCACTCAAGAAGGACTTGTTGAAGAAGAGGATCAAGAAAGGGTCATTGAAGATTTTTGTTTACTGCTGAATGATGAAGAGATTGTTGCTGCTGAGGCTCCTGGAGTCCAGATTGATCAACCAGAAGTGCATGCACCTACTGTGGCCATTCACACTTCACCAGTTGAGCTCGCACGACAAGCTCGATCGGCAGCTCGATCGAGTCCAACTCTAGCTCGATCGAGTCCGACCTCTTCTGTCCGACAGCCTGTTTTGCTTGATCCTTATCAACCGGTTGCCGCTTCCTCGTCTCGCCTACTTAGTCAAGGTCACAAGGAAGTGATTCACAAGTTCAGAAGAGATCTCAGTGGGATTGGAATTGAGTTGCCTCTATGGATAGCATGAGTGAGGCATTTGATCAAATGCAAATGGTCAAGGATGTTCTGCCAACAGTGATAAAGTTTCAGAGGTCCTACAAGAGTCTACTCATCAGTTCAACCTGCTTACTTCACCCACCTTCCTACCAAAGGTCAAGGATCAAGGGAAATTCACTCTCCCTTGCACACTTGGGCATCTTGAGATTGACAATGCCTTAGTGGATTCTGGAGCAAGCATCAATCTGATCTCTCTCTCCATGGCAGAGAAGCTAGGCATTGCTGGAGCCTTGCAGCGCCCTACTACTTCAATCATGTTTGGAGATGCAACTTCTAAGTCTCCTCTTGGAGTGTTCAAGAACTATCACTTGAAAATTGGAGAATGCATCATCCAAACTGATCTCACTGTGATGGAAATGGAAGAAGAGAAGGATTTGCCTCTGTTATTGGGAACCCCTTTCCTTAGTACAGTTGGCGCTTCAATAGACTTTCACAAGCAAGAAGTGATCCTTCACAAGGTGAATAGTTTGGTGTCATATCGCTTGCAGCCTAGAGGTTCAGACTTTTGTGCCACAATTGACAGTACCAATCTCAGTTCTAAGAGTCATGGAGCTACAAAGGTTGTGAAGGAAAGGGTTGACAAGGAACCAAGAGTTGGGAAGGATAAGGATGAGAGAGGACCAAGGATTGAGAAGCCACGTCTTGAGAGGGCTAGAGTTGAGAAACCACGATCTGATAGGCCAAGAGCTGAGAGACTTGTTCAAGCCCCTTGTGTGCTTGATGAAGAGAGCCTTCAAGCTTTGTTTGATGAGCCACTAGGAAGGGCTCTAAAAGAAGGGGAGGATGCAGCCTCTAAGGCAAGACCAGGAGATAAAAGAAAGGATCCACCAGCTCAGGCCCCTTCAGTCAAGCCATCTCAGCTCACAATGACTTTGTTCCCCACCAAGTTTGAAAATGGGAAGATTGAGTACAAGATAAGGTACAAGGGGAGATCAAGGCCATTCTCTAGAGCCAAGGCCTTGGTGACTTCAGAACAGTCCAGGGACCCAACCAAGCTAAAGGAGCTTCTGTCTCAAGTCCTCACTATCACCCTTGATGGTGGGACTAGCTCAACCAATGCCTAAAAGGTAAAGGTCAAGCTATGGGACCTTAAACAAGCTCACTTGGGAGGAAGTCCCATGTTTATCCTTGTACATACTCTATTTATGCAATTTCTATCTATCTTTATGTTTTTAACCTTTGAATAAGTTAAGTTTAGGTGTCAAGGAGCCAGCTCGACCGATAGCTCGATCGAGCTAGAAACCAGGGCAACTCGATCGAGCTACACAACTCGACCGAGGTAAGTTTTTGAATTTCAAATTCATAACCGTTTTCTTGGTCAAGGGAGTGGGTCCCACAAGCTGATTTTGGTCCCCCACTACCCTAATTTGATCAGAGAATCCCTAGTTTCTTGTTCCCTCTTTATTTCATCTTTTAATCTCAACCACACATCTCAAACACCCCTCTTCCCCATAACTCGATCGAATCCACTCTCTCTCTCCCACAATCTTAAAATTTCTGAAATCATCCTCTCTCTTCACCACAAGAAATTTTCGAATCTCTCTTTCTCTCTTAAGTTTTTGCGATTTCTCTTGTTGCTTCATTTGTTTGGGTTTAGTTTACTGTTCTTCAATTCCATCATTCAAGCAAGGTATGAACCCTAAAACCCTTGATTCTCCATCTCGATTTCCTTATTGCTTGTTTCTCTTGATTTTTGATTGCATGTGTCCCTTGTGGACTTGTTCTTGATAATTGCCCTCATATTTCGCCTCTGCTGTATATCTTGTTAGTTTGTTTCACCTCACCTCTGTTTTGCCTTTAAACTTGTTGCATGTGCTTGAAAATTGAATTTGAGTTTGGTATTGGTTAAGATGCTTAGTTTTCACTAGAATTGCTCATTGTTCCATTTACTAGTTGTTCTTGGTTCAATTTGATTGATTAGCATCTTTCCAGCTCTTAATACTTGAATTAGGTTTGGTTATACTCTGTTTTCACCCAACTCGATCGAGTTTGTCACTCGAGTTTTTTGACTCGATCGAGCTGAGTGTCGAGTTGACCAAACCGATCATTACAACTCTAATTCTTTGTAATCTTTGATGCATTTCAGGTACTTTAGTGAAGAAACAGAGTAACAAGATGACAAACAGTGAGGGAAGCCGCGCTTCACAGAGGAGAATGGTTGAGGGTGAATCAAGCAATGCAAGAGAGAAAGGCTTAAGATGCAAGCCGATTTGAAGAGGATGGATCAGAGGATGGAAGTCTGATGCAGAGGATATGTCTACTCTGAGGAACAGTCTGAGAGTGAGAGATTGAGGGAAGAAAGGAGAACCAAGAAGAGGAATGACCCTATAGTAGTGAGAGTGAGCAAGGGGAGTTTGAGATTGGAGTGAACCTTGTTCAAGAGGGGGAAATGGCTCTCCAAATGAGAAGGAGTGAGGAAACTGAGAGTGATGAGGAAGGAGAAGAGGTGAACCAATTGGTTGATGAAGATGACCAAGAGGGGAACCAAGATGAGCCAATGGAAGAGGCTGAGGAAGAGCAAGAGGAGGATGAGCTCCCCATGTACCAAGAGCACTACAATGCTCTCTTCTCCATGGACTTTGTGGAGACCAAGTACCCACACGATGACACCATGAGGCTTGGATCTTTGAGGATGTGGAGTTGGTGCTCAAGAACATGCAATTGGCCAAGTTCTTCTCTCACCGCATGGAGTCTTACAAGGAGCTCACTTGTGAGTTTTTGGCGTCAATGAGCATCACAGTTTGATGAGCTCGATCGAGCTGAGTTGGACCAAGGTTGGGGGTACATAACTTTCTTGGCAAAGGGAGAGAAGAAGATGGTGACCTTTAGGCAGCTTGAGATCTGTTTGGGTTCACTATGGAGAAGGTAACCATGGAACATCAAGGAAGAAGAACTCCAAAGAGTTGGGCTACAATCGCTGAGGGGTACTCTTCCTCAAGGTCCAAGGCTGCCAGATCAGGAAGTCCCAGTGCTTAGATATGTCCACAAGGCTCTTGCAAACACCTTCTTTGCAAGGAAAGCCACTGGAACAATCAATGAGGGAGAAGTGAAGCTCCTTGACATGGGAATCAAGCCCATCATCTCACGCACAAGGATGGGAAGAAGGATCAGAGGAGATAGGCACACGCAGGGAACTCATGCCTCTCCTTGAGCAGCTCCACCTACAAGTCACAGCTTACAACACTAGGCACCAAAGAGGAAGAAGCTTAGTGTTGGAGGGTCATCACACCTATCTTTGTGCAGCTGGAGTCAATGGACAAGAGAAGGTCTACTCCACCAGGTTGGATGGACATCAAGTTTTGCAAGACCAACCTCCTCATTGAGCACAAGGAGTTGGATGGGAGATTCCAATTCAAGTTCACACCCATTGGCTGGACCCTCCAAGCTTCTCCTGCCCAACCCTGAGCTCACCACGGTCTAGGAGGTGAGAACATTGACTTCAGACCCCCTGTGTACACTTTAGTTGGGCATGAAGCGGATTTGCGAGAAGAGGATCTGAGCTCGATCGAGCTGAGGATCGAGCTGAGGTCAAGCTGAAGATCAGTCCAGGAAGCGCTGATTTGGGTGAGCCTGAGTGCTATTACTTTGAGGAGTATGAGGCTCCAAGGATGAACCCCTCTGTTGTGGCTGCCCACAAGAGGATTGGACTTCTCCAAAAGTTCAACAAGTGGCAAGGGAAAGCCATGGAGAAGATGCAAAAGTCCATGGACAAGATGGTGAGCAAGATCAAAGCTTGGAGAAGAAAGTTTCTGGTTCTTCAAGCAAGAAGAAGAAGTCCAAGGCCCCCACATTCCCTAGGAGTAGGTCACTCCTCACCACTCCAAGGAGGCTCCCTGCCCAAGAGCCTCACAGAGCCTCTTCTTTCGAGCCAAGGGAAGGAGAAGACAACACGCAGAGAAGGAGGAAGACTTCCAAGGCCAGACGCTCCAGCTCGACCACCGGACTCGATCGAGTCCAGCTCGACCACCGGACTCGATCGAGTCCAAACAGAGGAAACTCAACTCGATCGAGCTGACGGTCGAGTTGACCTGGAGGAGCCCCAGTTTGAGATCCGGGATTTCGAGTACGATCCCAGCCTTACCAGGACTTCCCCAGAGATGGAACCCCTATACAGTCGAGCTACCAAGCTCCACCAAGGCCAAGGAACACACACTTTCAAGATGAAGAAGAGGAGGAAGAGAGCCACAAGCTCGATCGAGTGAGCGCAAGAGGCAACCCAGTTGCAGTGGAGTGCTCCTGATGGCCGTCTCCCATCTCCAGACCACGACCTAGCCTCCCAGTTCTTTGGGGGGCACTGAGGTATCCAAACACCAACCCTTGTATATACCATTTCATATTTTCTTGCATTTGTTCTTGTTTTTTCTTGGTTTTGCCCTCTTGAATCTTTCACTAAATTTTTCTCACACAAGGGACTGTGTGATTTAAGTTTGGGGGAGGGTTCAAGAGATGATTTAACCTTGTTTTCTTTGTTCTTAGTTTTTCATTATCTTTTGCATAGAAAAACCAAAAAAATCATAAAATTTTCAAAAAATCCAAAAATATTTTCATCTTTTTGCATTCATATTTGTTAGACTTGTTTAGGATTGCATTTTTCACTTGCATTGTTGATTTGAGATTTCTTGAGTGCCCTGTTTTTAGATTCTTTTGTGCATTAGGGTGAGATTGATTGAGCAAAGAACCATGTTTATCTTGATCATATCGCTGCATGCACATCTCATTCAACCATTGCTGTGATTTGATGCATTTCCCTATCTATTTGAACCATAACTTGATCTTTAATTACCAATGCTTGCATTTGATTTCAACTCATGGCTACCACATACATATCTGGACATTCTTTACCATTTTCATATCCCTTTTGCTTGTCCAGATAGCTGATCTCTATCTTTGAGACAGTTACCACACCTTAAACCTAAGCCTTTTCATTTCAAACCCCATTTTATCTCTTGTGCGAATGTGAGAACCTTTCTTGGCTTTGCTTAGCATAAGGTGTTGTGTTTAAACCGGCAGGGGCAGTAGTTCTAGTTGTCTAGTTCTCTTGGGATTGTTTTCAGGCTAAGTTTGGGGGTGCCAACTCGATAGCCTTTTCATTTCAAACCCCATATTATCTCTTGTGCGAATGTGAGAACCTTTCTTGGCTTTGCTTAGCATAAGGTGTTGTGTTTAAACCGGCAGGGGCAGTAGTTCTAGTTGTCTAGTTCTCTTGGGATTGTTTTCAGGCTAAGTTTGGGGGTGCCAACTCGAGCTCGATCGAGTTGGGTGTAAAAACCAGAAAAGTGGTAAAAGTTGGGAAAAACCCAAAGGAAAAAGAGTTTGGTTAAGTCCAGGGAGTTGGCAGTGTTAAAAGGGTCTAGTAAAGGTTTGGGAAGTTAAAAAAGGAAAGTAAAAAGGGTTCTAAGTAGAATGAAAAGAAGGCAAAGCCTCAAGTGTCAAAAAGGAAAGAAAAGTTCCCTAAGTGTTTAGAAAATCCCAAACCGCTAGATGTTACCTCAAGAAGCCTCTCCCTAGGAAGTTCTTAAAAGAAAAGTGAGCAAAGCTCCTCAGTTTCAAAGGCGAAATGCCAAAAAGGGTAGTTAGGATTTTGTTCTAAAAAGCTCTAAGTGTTGAACTCGATCGAGTTAGGATTAGGCGGCTCGAGCTGCTGTTCTTGCATCATCTTTGGTTCTAACACTTAGCCTTCTGCCAAAGCAAAGCCACTTTCTTGAGAGATCCCTGTTACTAAACCACCATACAAAAGAGACCCTCTTTGTCTCTTAACCCATAAACCCTTGAAACCAAATGAGTTGATTGATCTTGCATGTTTTTGGTTCACTGTTTTTGCTTAATGAATGTTAAAGGGATTTGCTGATTTGAATGCATTGTTTGAGTGACTGTGAAGTGGGATTGATGTTGATAAGCATGGTTAAATCTTAATGAATATCTCTCACCTTGTTGCATTCTAGAATCTCTAAGTTGGACATTTAGCAAATCGCTTTTGAGGACATGTTTTTAAGTGTTGAATCAGCTTGTTTTCAAACCTCATCTCTTTCTTGTTCTATTTGTTTGCTTGAGGGCAAGCAAAGTTCAAGTTTGGGGGTGTTGATGTACTTGCATTTTACATAGTTTTAGCACATCTTTTATGCATCTTTTGCATAGTTTTAGCTTCCATTTGCATCATATCTTGTTCCTTTTCTCTTCTTATGCATTCATGTTAGTTTTAGGTTGCATTTGCATACATATGCATGTTTGGTCCTTTGAAATAGGTCTTTTGGAGCATTCTGGAGCATATGGGACAAGGAGCATGGAGGGACTTGGCACATGGAAGCAGCTCAACTGGATACGCAAAGGAAGAAGGGAGAAGCCATCTTGAAGACCAGCTCGACCGTCCACTCGACCAACCGGTCGAGTTCCTCAACTCGACCGGCCAAGCTTCAACTCGATCGAGCTGGAAGTCAAAGTCAAACCCGAAAAATGTTGCTTCCCCCTTGACTTCCTTTGACCCTAAACCTAATCCTCTTGTATTTAAAGGCTCTAAGCCACGAAAAAACCACCAAGCTTTAGATTATTTTGTTTTAGTTTCTTTTAATTTATTGTCTTTTACTTTTTAGAGATCTAATCCCATCTTTGTGTTCTTGAAGCTCTTGCTTCTTGAATCTTAGATCCTGGATAATCTCTTTGTATTTGCACTTGCTTATTTCAATAAAAGTTGTTTAATTTCATCTCCTCTTTCTTATGATGTCTCTTTTATTGCATTTGCTTGTGTTTACATTCATGTGTAGTGAGTAGTTACCCATTAGGGTTTGAGATGGGATAGATTAGAGGTTTCATATGCTTAATCCTTCTAGCTTATGGTCTTAATCTAGATTCTCTCTCTTTTGGATAGATCTTAAGGCTACATGACCACTACCCCTGGCTTGTAAGTCCTTAGGCGACTCCCCACACGAAGTGATGGCATTCGCTGGAAAAGATCCACTAAGAGCTCCAATATCTCTTGCTCTAGACAATAGAGGTCTAAGGGGTTGGATGGATTAGTTTGGGCAATGATCCTATAGCCTCCAAGGTTTGATTCTCACTGGCTAACCCCCTGTTTCTGAGATCATTCCTTGGTTGATAGCCTCCACCTTGGGAAAGGGTTGGCTAGGCATTGAGAAGCCCAATATCAAGAGAAGCCTTGATACAAGGAGTTTTAAGAGCTAGATTGATTAAGTGTAGATTCCTTTGATTGCAAAACCCTGTCTTGAACCCTAATTCTCTCTTTATCTTGTTAAAGTCGTCACCTTTAGCTTTGTTTGTCTCAACTCGTCCCTAAACTCGATCGAGCTGGTACTTTGCTCTACTCGACTCGAGTCTTGGTCGAGCTGCTTCACTGCTTTGTTTACTTTTATTGCACTGCTTTTCATTTTTTTAGGTTGTTAGTGTTACTTCAAATCTATAACTGCTTGCTTGACTTTCTGGTTGTTTCATATTCTCATAGAGTGACAAGTTTCCCATTTTGGATTGATAACCTCTTATACTTCAATGACTATGATGGTTAAGAGGAATTGATTGATTGTGATTGCACCATACCATTCATCTTTATTCACCCCTGTTTGCATTCCACCTCATTTCATTCATATTCATATCACCACGTAAAATCCTATCATCATTCACTTCTTCAACTCTCATTCATGTCATATCCTCTTCATACTTCACCATCTACAAACATAACGATCCGATCATCAAATACCACGTTGACCGATTCCATTATGATCTTGGACCGAAGGTTGAACACTCTGAAAGCTGAACTGTTGCATGAATAACCCAGAAAGATTCCTTCATCACTCCTTGAGTCAAACTTCCCAAATTGGTCCTTGTCACTCAGAATATAACACCTGCATCCAAAGACACGAAAGTAACTTAGATTAGGTATTTTTCCTTTCCAAAACTCATAAGGTGTTTTGAGTGAATCCTTTCGAATGTAGACACGGTTTATGATGTAGCATGCGGTGTTGATTGCTTCAGCCCAAACTTCACTGACAAAGTTCTTATTTCTTCGGCAAATGAATGTTTCCTCCATGGATCATTTCTCTCGCCATTTCCTGAAGTGTTCTGTTCTTTCGATCAACAACTCCATTCATATGTGGTGTTCTAGGCGCTGAAAACTGATGAGCTATGCCTTGTTCATTGCAGAAGTTCTTCATAGCCTCATTCTGAAATTCTCCCCCATGATCACTGCGTATGCGCTTGATGCTTCCTTTCTCATTGATGACCTGTAGTGCCCAAATCTTGAAACTCGCCATGGTGTCAGATTTGTCACGAATGAAGCGCACCCAAGTGTATCGCGAGTAATCATCCACTAGAACAAAGACATAGTGTTTGCCTGCAATGCTCTCCACTTGCATTGGTCCCATAAAATCCATGTGTACTAGATCCAGTGCTGACTTGGATTGTACATCTGCACCTTCTTTGCTGGACCTTCACTTGTTTCCCTTGATTGCATGGACCACACACGATTTTCTCACATCCTTTCAGTTTTTCTCCTTATTCACCAGAGTGGTAAGATGGCGAATATTCATGTGTCCCAATCGCTTATGCCACAGTTCAACATCATCTCGCACACTTAGGCATTTTGCAGATTGATCCCACATGTAGCAGTTGTTGCCTGAACGAAACTCCTCGTAGAACTGCCTTTCCGTCAGCATCAATGGCTTTACATTCTAGCTTGTTGAACCACACTGTTAAACCTTCATCGCATAGTTGGCTGACACTGATCAAATTTGACTTTAGACCTTGGACAAGATAGACATTCATAAGTTGTGGCTGCTCCTCAGATGTTCGTCCTTTGCCTTGAATAGTTCCTTTGGTTCCACATCCAAATGTCACCTTTCCTCCTTTTAACTGCTTCACATCCTGCAGATTTTCTTTCATGCCAGTCATATGTCTGGAACAACCGCTGTCGAAGTACCACAGTTCCTGTGTTGTCCACCTCATTGCTTTCTTCAGGTAGTCCCATATTGGAGAAAAATCACTGTCTTTGCCATTTTTTATGCAGTGCTGACCGAGTTTTAGTACATGTCATAACAGGTGAAGATGCAGTTGAATGAAGAACTTCATGTATCAGTCAAGAAGTAGTACAGAGAGTCGTGTTCAGCAGATGGGCTTAAGGAATCGATCTGATGGGCTGGACATATGCTTGTAGCTGAGGAGGCGAGTCTAGAAGATTCTAGAAGAGTCAAGAGCTGAGTTGGACGAAGAGATTCGAAGCTATCAAGCAACTAGGAATATTTCCTTTTCCTAGAGAAAAATAAGGAAATAAATATTCTCTTGGAGATTTGGAGTGATCACCAAGGGAGAAATCTTGAAGGGTTTCAAAGCGTACCTATTGTGGATAAATAGGACGTGGAGAGCATTGGATGTGCTCAACCCATTACATTCGAAGATGCCTTAGCATAAGGTTTTGGGGTTCTAGTAGGAAGACCAAACAAAGGGTTAAGGGCATTGTTTGAATGTATCCATCTACGAGAGAATGGTAGGCATTGTAGTGCTGAATATCATAGCAATTTTAATTGCAATCATGTTCTAGTGGATTATGGACGAGGTCCCGGAGATTTAGGAAACGAACCCCTGTTAACAAACTCTTTGTGTCTTTACTACTATTTATGCTATTACTACTTTATGTATCATTCACGTGATATCCGTTCTAGAAATCACCCCCGAAGTTACAATCATGGAACTCACGGTACTTGTACTCAAGTCACCTGATAAGAGCTACAAGCTTAACTCATACCGTCGTACTACCACTCGGCCAAGAGAGCTACCCAAGTATATCCGAGATCTCTGTTCTTATGAATATGAATTCGTTTTCCTTCTCTATGTCTGAGTAGTTTACTTGTTAAGTGATAGGAAGTCAAAGGATAGCATTCATGATTGCTTGATGATCGATCACACGAATTAGGGTTTTACATATACTCTTCACCTCTTTGCTTATGCGTAATGCTTGTTGTTAATCTGGCCAATTAGCATATGATTAGGTTGACTTGAGCCTCGAAAGTGTTGAATCATTCGCCTGAACTAGTATTTGGTGGGCAACCTCTTTTAGACTGTGAAAGTTGATTTACTTGTAGGTTGTGAACAACTGAACTTATTCGAACTAATGCTTGATTTAATCACCTAGGGACATACCAAAAGTTTAGCGACTAGGTAGATTAACAAAGGGGTCGGAGCCACAAAAGTGGAAAGATCATACCATAGTGTTTCAAGTTCTAGATGGTACCTATTATCAATAACCCTAATCGATTGATCCTTGCTTCTTGAATTGCTTATCTTAAGACTATCCTATTGCTTACCCTTCTCTCCTATTGATTTCAACCTTCTTTACTTGTTTAATTTACTTGCATCCTTTACTTTACTGCACTCAACCAATCTCATACTGTTTGCCCTAGCTCGATCTCAATCTCATAGTTTGTAGTGTGCAATCTGGTCCTTGTGTTCGATACCCGTTTACTACTTCTGACCTGTGCACTTGCAGAATCAGGGATAGGAAAAAGGGAAGACCTGATCCCGCAATCAATTGCTTGTTGTGTGTTGATTGCTTCCGCTTCTCTCAACTCTTTGGTCAACTATGTGTGTTACCAATTAGATGAGTTATGCGTACTTTGGTAGTACTTTTTCTTATTTTTAGAGTGGGGGAAAACTTATTGTATAGAGTGTCCTAGACTCACTAAGTAACATTAGGTTATTTATGACGACTATTTGTTTACAGGAAACCCTTAGACCAACCTAGAGGTAGCGTAGAATGTTAGGCACTGGAGTAGATTTTCCTTGGCTTTTATAAAATTTTAATTTGTAAGAAATATGATTTTAGAACCCCCCCCACCTATTTTATTTTTATTTTGGGCATTAGGCCATGGCTAAAACTTTTTTGGAATGTTTTATAAAACCTCATCTTTAATAAAATATAAATGGAAATAAAATTATGTTTTATTTAAAGATGGCTTGTTCGGATGATATTTGTTTTGTCCGAACAAACACAACTCAGTTTTCATAATACGGGTTGCAAAGGCTTAGTACATTGAATTATGTGGTAAGAGAACTAGAATGGACCAGATATGAGTCAAGGATCCCCTCCGGGACTCAGGTCTGGACTTGACTAGGCCTCAATTGTAGCACACTCGAGTCGGTTTATTTATAGATCGAATCGGGGGTATTACAATCATGCTTTGAAATTGTTATGCTATGACGATGGTTTACAGTTAAGGGAGAGCTAGAAGATCATCCTGCTCTGGAAGGATTATGCCATGATTCTAAAACTCAATCATCAAGGGAGAGATTGTTGATGTAATGTTGACCAAGTTTTAGAACATGTCATTACACGTGAAGATGCAGTTTACTGAAGGACTTCACATATCCATCAAGAAGTAGTACATAGAGTCGTTTTCAACAAAAGGGCTTAAGGAATCAATCTAATGGGCTGGAAAATTGCTTGTAGCTGATGAGAACGAGTCTATAAGATTTTATAAGAGTCAAGAGCTGAGTTGGACGAAGAGATTCGAGGCTATCAAGCAATTAGGAATATTTCCTTTTCCTACAGAAAAATAAGGAAAGAAATATTCTCTTCGAGATTTAGAGTTATCACCAAGGGAGAAGTGTTGAAGGGTTTCAAAGCGTGCCTATTGTGGATAAATAGGACGTGGAGAGCATTGAATGTGCTCAACCCATTATATTCGAAGATGCCTTAACATAAGGTTTTGGAATTCTAATAGAAAGACCAAACAAATGGTTAAGAGCATTATTTGAATATATTCATCTAGGAGAGAATGGTAGGCATTGTAGTGCTGGATATCATAACAATTGTAATTGCAATCTTGTTCTAGTGGATTCTGGACGAGGTTCCGGGAATGTAGAAAACAAACCCAAAAAAATCTTTACTACTATTTATGCTTGTACTACTTTTTGTATTATTCACGGTCGGTACCCCATGCACTTTCAGAAATTACCTTAAACTCGTGATATAACCGCATATAAAATGGGTTTGGTTTCGGTGGTTATATGATTATATCACATATGTAAACACGACCATTTTTTTCCGATTAAACTCTCTTAGCTTAATTCTCCACTTATTCCTAAAAATTATACGATCAGTTTCCACTAGCTGTAACATATTTACAAGAGGGAAAACTAACGTGTGCTTGACTGCTTGGCCTTGGTTTGAGACGAGTTTGAGATATTTAGATGATAAAACGAGATAATTAGAAACATTAATCAGACAGACATTCTAAATTGTGAAAAGAAAAAAAAAGAGTCAGTTTATGAATTTATCAGCAATTTCTATGATGACACCTGACGGATGAAAACGCCGTTGCCAAAACCGATTCATAAATTCTGGTGTATACTTTCACAGATTAATGCCAACATGCAACGTATGATCTTTTCCATAACAGTGTGAGTTGTACAAAAAGTGACTCAACATTCAATTAACACATTATTTCTGCATATATATACAAAGCCACACGAAGTAACCAGCAATCATCAACTTGTATATTGGATTATAGTCCGTATTGTTTCAAACCCAACTTTTTTGCTTTTGTGTTTATATATAGAAATTTTAAGAAACTAGATTTTTGACATTAGTAGGAAAATATTACTTTTTCGTTTAGTTAATTATGTTTTTCTTAATATACGAATGCAAACGAAACGCAAACTTAATTTTTCATTTGCTTTTTCTCATTTACGACTTAAAGATTCTGATTTCATTTGAATAAAAGCACACCAGTATCATATTAAAACTTAAAAGAATAAAAATTAATCGAATCTTATATAATTAAAAACATTATAAACTCTATATATACGCGATTGAACTTCAAACACTGCCCATATTAAGACCAGTCCCAATCTCCATCCCGCAGATCATGTGTGGAGGGTGCACTGATTGAGAAAACACGAGTACGGATTGGTGTACATTGTCCTACCTTCTCTTTGGGGTTTATGTACATTGTCCTACTGTTTACATACATTTTATGTAAATATCTATATATTTATTAGGGAACATAGATATCTACAGTCTTTAATACCTATGAGTGACGTCTCATATCTCATATCTACATCAGGTTTTGTTGGAATCAAATATAAAATTAAAATATCTGCCTCACTATCATGTCGATTAATCATTTGTAAGAATAAAAGTAAAAGTCTTAAGGTAACAAGTTGTACGTTGGAGTAAGTTCCGTTAACAACGAAGCTTGTTTGTGTTAGGCTTCGTGTATTCAACAGTACATCACACTCTTGCAATATGGAACAATAAAATCCTAGGGTTTCCATAATAAACACTTTTATGTTTTATCCACGTGTCATAAAGCATCGTATAACATTTTTTTTTTGAGTCTATGTTTCACTTTTTCATTACAAAAAGAAAAATAAATTGATGCACATGTTTTCACTAATGAATCACCGTTTCAAGCCTAACACGAGTCAAATCCGACTATCCGAGTCAAAGAGCAATTAAACAACACACTTTTAGTCAGTTATTTAAAATTAATAGTTTTCTTAAAATATTAATTTTAGCCTGTTTGGTTTTTTTTTCCCCCAAATTTTAGACTAAACCTAACAGGTAAAATTCGCTGGACTAAAACTGGAAATGCATAGTTTAGGAATAAAGTTGAAGACTCAAGCGACTAGTAGAAAGCGAGTTCCTTACCTCTAGTAAGAAAACTAATCCAGTTTTATTATTCAAATATCATGTGTATCATGTAATAACTACAGCACACTTAAATTCTAAGACCATTGCTCGGTCAATATCATCCGGAGGTGGCTTGGCCGGCAAGGTACCATCAGGGCTCCCTCGTGATCGAAACCGAACTCCTCCTCCGCTCTTTCTAGTAGCTCCCGGAACATGGGGTGTTCTAGATACATCAATGGGACAACGAATCTTTGGGTAGGCTCATGACATCCATCAACTGCTATCACCCCAAAATGACCTTGCTTCACATCTTTTGGGACGCAGTCACGGCCGTATTCGTCGGCACACGGTTTCTTGGCCGTGGAAAAGCCTTTGATTTGCACTAACCTCTCTACAACATTCTTCAGCTTCACAATTCCACCCGTTTTCTTCTTTGACTGCTCAACTTTGATCATTCTTTGCCTGGCCATGCTTAATTATAAGATTCAGTTTCTTTTTTTCTTTTTCTCTCGAGGTTTCGGGGTTTTTGAAAAAGTATATGTTCAAGTATAGACATGTAAGATAGTATATATATAAGGAGGAATGGCGCAAAGAGGATAAGAAAGAAGAGGAAGAAGTAAAAAGGAGAAGTGAGTAAGGGAGACCAAACCATGTGGCTGAGTTGGTTAACGTTCCTTTGAATTTTCCACGAAAGCTGTTTCCCTTGTAAGTTTTTTTTGTCTTCTTTTGTCTCTTACCGTCTGTACAATTAACATCGACTATGGTTTTATCAACAACAACACAATAAACATCGTCTAGGGAGGAATTCTCATGTCATGGCCGTGGGTGTGTTACTCTTCAGAACAAGCATTGAACCGTTTCAACTCCAAAAGAAAAAAACATTGACTATGGAGAAAATTATCTCATGCCATGGCCGTGGGTTTTACTCTCTACAGAACAAGTGTTGAACCATTTCCAACTCCAAAAGGATGAGGACTACTATTTCAAAATAGTAAACACACGTTTCTATAATAAATGGTAACTTTAATGAAATTATTATTTTATATTACTTTCACAATAATAATAAATATTTGAGGAACATTCAGTTAAATATTTGGTTATATATATATATTGACGGTACCCACATAGAGGAAGAAATTAACCAGTTAATTACCTTTTACGATTACAAATAGAAAATGTTTGATTATATTGGCTGCTCCACATAGACCCGCCCTTGTATAAAGCTAAACTGACAGATGTGTTGAAGTATGTATATATGACCATAAATCAGTTGTATGTTATCTTTATATTTTGGGACCTTTTGTAACATAATCAAAATATTATTTAAACTTTGTAATAACTTTTATTTTGAATTTTTCGAAAACTAATTTTTGTGATGATGAGAAGGCATTTATATATATGCTCAGTTATTTACTTAGCTATTCAAGTAAAATATAAAACCAAATCTCCACGACCATGACATCCTATATTGATGCAAGAAGTTCACATGATGAAAGTTAAAATCTCAAAGAGAGAAAAATGTATGTACGAGCATCTAGTATTCAAGTGCTATATATAACCGAATATAATCGTTTCGCCTAGTCCTAGTTCTCTATATTTAAGCGGTCAGTCCCAAGTATCATATAGGCAGTGAAACATATATATATATATATATATATATATATATATATATATATATATATACAGAACATTGTCTAAACATACAGAAGGAATACGTAACAGTTTAGGTTTTATTCACCTCCAAACTACCTTATTTGGTCTCTTTACTTTTGAATCAAATAAAACTTAAAGACTAGAAAATGAACCAGCTTTGCCTTAATTTCCCCATATTCTTCACGTTCAATCCACATTGTTTATCTAAACCGGACAAAAAAACCTTCCACCATTGAGGGTTTCAAATGTCATTTACAGTTACACACAGTATTGTGTGTCCTTGTCAACTGTATAGTAGTACAGTGCTTTGTATCTCTGCATGCAAAAGTCGTGGTCGGTTTCGTACTATAAGATCATAAAAACTTACATGTGATCAAAATGATGTTTTCAATTGTAAAACATAAGACTTATATATTTGAAGAATATGAAGCCCTTTATCAAAAAATAAATAAATATTTGAAGAATATGCTTCGATATTTAATGACTCGTTTGAAAATTGAAGAGATCATCTACTATGACAAACTGTGGCTGTGATAAACCAAGCTGATACATAATTTAATGAAAGTAATCTCTTCCGAACTTTTATAATTTATCGAACCCAATTTAATACTCCCCCTGTTTCATAATAAATCACATTTTCTGATCTCAATGCACTTTTTATAGTATTAATTTATCTCTTTTACCCCTTATTAATTAAGAAAAAATATTAAATATTGTAGAATTCAAATAGTCAAACAAAAGTAAAACTGAACTTTCAATTAATTTCTTAATTTGTGTGAAACGGAGGGAGTAATGTTTAATAACCGAGTTCTGAAAAAAAAATATATACAATCTTTCTCCCAAAACATCAAATATGGATCCTAAAAAACCTAAAATAAAAATTGCGAAGAAAGAAACAGAATCTAATTAAGAGTTCCTGTTAAAAACAAAATTTACGTATGGTAGACATCATTTCAAGAACTTTCATATTTTATGTCTTTTCACTTCTAAACCCCTAATAAAAGTGATATTTGGGGGTAAAGATCAATTCAATATTACAAACTAACTTGTGGTTGCCTATAGAAGAAACTTCTATTGTTTTCTTTTTCAAAGCATAATTCCAGTTGCATCGTGGAACGAAAGTGAAACCACAAGTCGACAATTAATGAAAGTGAAATAAAAACAGAACTGTTAGATAATTACATACTTACAGTTACATACTAATCACCTCGTACCAACAAATAGTCGTCCTCTAAAATAAAACTTTACCAAAAATAAAACAGTAGTCGGCATTTAACAAGGAAACATGTTGCAATAGAAAAGTCATTGTCCCAAAAAGCGACCAGCGAACATCAGTCTACGGACGAAACTAGTTGTTGATAATATCTTAGAACTACATGAGTAAGCAACACAACATTTGACATAGTATGACCTAGTGATTAGACACATGATTGCATAAATTATTCCACATTTTTTTATTAAATTATGAAATTTTATATGATTTTAAAAGTTGGGAAAAAAGCGCACAAAAATGTCGTTATAGGTCCACAGTCCAAATTAAATTCGAAAGGTACACTTCATTCATCAGGCAACTACGGGCTGGTCCGACACTGTGTTTACTTGATTATCATTTCCTTGTTTTTCGATATTTATGGAATTGCACTTTCTATTCAACTCTATAGATACATGAACTCGCATATACTTGCCGTGAATGAAATTTGGTAGGATATTTTGATGAAAGAAGGTTGTTACTTGGCAAAAATAGGTTTTTGACCTGTAAACAAGACAAAATATCTAGATACTTTAGTCTGATGAAAGAACTTTGTATAAGATGTTATATCGAGATACCACTACAAATCTCAATACCTGCTGATGATATATTGACATTAAATTGTATCTAATTCGCATTATCCACTAGATCAATGACATCAAATGAAAATGACATCAAATGAAAAGTTAGTTAGGCAACTAACATGGCTTTTTTTTGGAAAATAGGAAAAAAAAAAAAACAATATAGAAAAAAATTACCCTATGTTACATCACTTGGCACCACTTAAAAAAAAAGTAACCGGAGGAAATGACAGTACGAAATATGTTTATATAAAAAATATGACAAGCCATTACTTGTTTAAGTGAATAATATTCTTTCTATCTTATAATATAAGCTGTTTTGGCTTTCAATTTTTATCTTATAATATAAGTTATTCCAAATATCAATGCAAAAATAATAATAATAATAATAATAATAATAATAAAATTAAATTAGAGATTGGTCTAAAATGTTTTTTATTTATTTATTTATTTAATTAATTGTTTTAAAAGATTAAAATAAATAGAAAGTAATTTTGTCTTAATATTTATGTCTAAATCCAAAGCAGCTTATAAAATGGGACATAAGGAATATGACTTAAGCGTATTTTGTCCTTTTTATTTTAATGTTATATATAGGACGAATGATTTTTCTCTCTAACATATACAGTATCATTTTCATTTGTAAACATCCAGTTTATCAAAGAAAACTGTTTTACGGGTTTACTCAGATTTTCTAAGTAGTGATAAAAATGGCGTGATTTTTTTGTGTTTTACTATGTAAGCATGTAATTTATCAAATTATACATTTTCAGTACATCAACATGTTATTTTTCATCTTAAGGTTTCTCACACATATTAAAAAACCTGTTATATTTTTAAATATCTTACTTATTAATACACTAAATATATATATTTAGATGTTTTGTTAGATGCTAATAGCAATATATGCACTTGTCATTGACCTAACTAAATCTTTGTGTTTCCATTAGGAAAACCCCAAAAAAAAAAGTTTCTATTGTACTTCTCACGGCATTCTGTATAGTCGCTAATTCACCTAAATAATTGTGTTGCCATTTGGAAGACCCAAAAAAAAAAAGTTTACATTGTACTTCCCACGGCATTTTGTATAGTCGCCATACGAGAGTTTTTGTGAAACACGTTTCGATCATAATTTGTGCTAGGGAGGAATAAAAGACCTCTAGGATTTCGTCTACGTATGCTTATTTCTTTTTCAAAAACTTTCTCTCCTCATTTCTTTTTCTAATAGTACTAGGAACGATGGACGAAAAGGAACCTGTAGACCTTAGTCACGTTGAAATTGAGTCATTAGCTTTTTAGTGTACGTCTGCATTATGTATAGTCGACATACGAGATTTCTTGAGAAACACGTACTTTCGGTCATAGTTTATGAAACATGAAAACTTTGTATAAGATGTTCAATGTACCTGAGCATCTTCAATCGGTCGTCCAATTCAATTAGGATAAGGGAGATATAACTACATTACTCTTACAAAGTACCAATGAGCTCCACTAATTTGTCTAAATAAGCAAGAATACACACAAAAATAAAAATTTATATACTATATATGAATTAATTAAGATTCCCAACATCGTAGGGATGAAACAATTCGTTAATATAAACAATTAACAAATCCGTTAATTAATCGTTCTTGTATTAGCAAATAGATCAGTGATTTTCAGTAACCATTCGAGTCATCGCTGAAATTAACCAGAAGATCAGTAATTTTCATGGTTTATTAAATCAACATGGTGAGTCTTTCAACAATTGTATCACCATGAATTAGTTAGCACATAACCATATTGTACAAACTATTTTCATAATATATACACCTATTAGGATATACTCATATCTTATAGGTCTTCTAAGCATCAATCCGAAATGCATTTTGTGCGTTGAAGTAGACTAGTCGAGGAACCATCTCTTATTTTGCTACATCAATATACTCCCTGACTTTACGTGCTTGTATAAAAAAACAGCTCACAAAGCATTTAAAAAACGAATTGAGATAGGAGAAGAAACTCTATCAAATAATTCCGATTGCAAACTATATTTTGCATAAGTTTGATTGTGACACAATTTGTATTTGCTATCTTATCATATAGAGAACAGTCCTCTAATTAATATGCAAGTACTATAAAAAATTCCATATCGCAAAATGGGTCACTCGCTAAAATGTATTGTCATCGCAATATCTCTCTAATGGAAAATACTGAATTTACTCATATGATATGGAATAGTCTTATAGACCATCACAAAATATATATTTCTCTAAAATGTATTGTCATTGCAATATATCTGAAATGGAAAATACTGAATTTACTCCTATGATATGGAATTAATAGTCTTATAGACCATCACAAAATATTTATTTCTCTAATATGTATTGCCATTGAAATATATCTGAAATGGAAAATACTGAATTTACTCATATGATATGGAATTAATAGTCTTATATATAGACCATCACAAAGTACATGTTTTTTTTTCGTTTTCTTTCTTTTTCCTATTTATTTACTCGTACCTATTTATGTTGAGAGATATAATACTCCAAAATGTTTTTGTTGCCCTCGAAAATCACATAACGCAGCAAACGTTTGGATTCTCCTCGCTGAAAAACTCCGACATTGGGCCTCCAATGCAACCGTAGGGCCCAAACCCAGGAGTGAAACCATACCCAGGTGGTAGACCCGGTGACCCGACTTTGGTGATTCCTTCTTCATTCTCCTTCTTCTTGTTCTTCTTCTCAGGCAAGACTTTGACGGTTTTCTTCAGCTTCCGTTTCAGATTCTCAGTCACAGACTTAACCTCCATCGTTCCTGTGACTGTCAGCGTTTGCTTCTCCTTGTCCATTTTGACTTGATAGACTCCTGTTGATTTTGACACACATACTTAACGCCGTTAGGCTCAAAACGGTTGCAATCAAACAAGTTTTGTACTAAGTCAATAACAAAGCAGAAAAACCTCACCTTTGGTCTTAGAGACAGTCTTCTGAATCCTCTTGACGCATCCATCACATGTGCAATTCAGCTTCAGTATCACTGTGGTCACAGCAACCTATAATCAAAACAGGAGAGTCAAGAACAGATCATAAGGTCCTTTATTGGTTCCACGCTTCTCATAATACTTTCAGAGCAAGTGTTTCTTGAGACGCTAAAGTATTTTAATCCATATGAGCGCACCTAGAAGGTAATAGCTACAGTACTACTTATGTACAGATGCGTAATCAAAGAAGAAGAAAGATGCTTGAGAGACAAGTAAGCCTGAGATGAGTCTACTTCTTGATACCATTAGTCATGTTTTGCAATCAAATCGAGTGTAAATGCATGCAATGAATGTGTTCCAAGCTGAATTCGGAGCTTACCATAGTAACATTTTTGTTATCAGCCTTTGCGTCATTGTTAACTTTAGCTTCTTTCTTTGGTTTTGGAGATATGAGCTCAATCGTCTTCTTGCTCTTGCTCTGGAGTTTCTCTGTAGTCTTCACTGGGTCCATGAATCCAATCAGAGTCAGCTTTCTCGTAACAGGATCTGCTCTCACTGTTTCAACTCCTGATACAAAGAACCAAAAACACACATGAAAAGTAAAAATGAGTGTTGAAACATTGATTCCAATTTGTTGCTTCAACAGAAACAACACATCATGAACACACGAGCTTCTTATTTTGCGTTCAGATTCATAATCATGAATCAGTGATGAAACAAATACCCACAGATCCAAACCAGAAGAGACTATAAACTCTTCTCAATTGCTTCGCTTTGATAGCAGAAAAAGACAAAAAAAAAAAAATCATCCAAAAACCGGCATGGCGGTGACGGAAAGAGAAGGTTTAAACAAATCCAAAATCACAATCCTCAAAAATTCAGTATCGGAGAAACGAAAACAAACGATGAAGGCGATCCACTGAAACCAAAACCAATTCGACGAGATACATCCAGGAAAACGAAAGAAGAAATTGACGAAATCGGAGGCAAAAATCAAAACCAGAGAAAAGCAGAAGGAGATCAATATTCAGAAACATGATGAGGTTTTGGGAATAGACTCTCGATTTCTAGGGATTTAAACGAAAACGGACCTTTCAAACCACGAGCGGATTTCAGAATCCTCGCTACACACCCATCGCAGTGCATATCCACTTTGAGAACGACGGTGACCGGCGACGTGTTCTTTCCCTTTTTCGTCTCCGCGTCTCCGTCACACTCACAAACCACATTCGATTCCATGTTCTGCAAACACACAAACAAAGCTGGAGAAACTCAGAAAAACGCCGAATCACGAAGCGGAAAAAAAGGAGCAAAATTCGAGGACGTAGAGAAAGCAGAGAGGAACGAGCGAAAACCTGGATCGATTTCTTCGGCGTTGTTTCGAGATTTTCTGGAGATTTCTTAAGCTTTTTGGAGAGACGACGAAAAGAGAAAAAGTTTCTGGTAGTATCAGAGGCGGCTGCTTACTAGGAGAGTGTGTGGGAGGAGGTTTGGGGGAATATGTATATGCAGAGTCCGTACATTGTTGTTTTTTGTCCTCTTCCTTTCTCAGCTTTTTCAATTTCATTTTCTTTTTTTTTAAAATCAATTTTCCATTCGTCAGAAACTTATTTATTGAAATATTTCAAAGTAGCATTAACGTTTTGGGTGTTGATGAAAATTTCTAAAAATATTTTGCAATTTGACATTCGAGAACTTTTTTTGTTAGTTTTTATGTTATGATTAAGACTGGTTTTTGTTTGACAAATGGAGTGTTGATACTTTCAGAAATACAAAAAAAAAAAATAATAATAATGGGGGAAATATAGATTTTAGGAGAAAATAAATTAATCTGTTTCTTTATTTTCTAAAAACTGTTTTCTTTACTTTAACAAAAAAAAAAAAAAACTGTTTTCTTTGCTAAATATTTTCTTGCATGCTCTTAAAAACGTAATTTGATGTAATGTACACGTAGACTTGAAATCCCTTGAACTTTAGGTGCAAAAGACCACAAGCCGGTGTATTAACAAAACAACTACAATTTTTAGTACTTACTTCATCATTCACGTAAATTTAACATTAACATTGTATAGCATCATTAACATTTTATAATGCGTTCTTGTTACTCTAGATTTCTATAACAAATTTGGATACACAAACACTATTATTTAAAAGTCACAGTTCCTAATCGGAAAAGTTATTTATAGCTTAGGCCCATTAATTTCACTGTTTCTAATAAATTGCATACAAGGCTTAATGATACTTAAGTTTTTAACCATTAGATTTTTATTTTAATGTCAGGTTGTCAACCAAAACAATAGCAATTTGGTCTATGGATTAGTATTAAACTAATATTAAAACAGTATTTATTACGTTTGCATTAAAGTGCAGAAAACAACTCACTCAAGTGGAAAAGAAAAGCGATAACAAAGACTCCATTGAAAGGATTGAAGAAGAAGAAGAAGAAGAAGAAGAAGAAGATTAGATCCACTCAAAATCATCTTTAAGACTCATGTCTATAATCAGTCTTCTCTTCCTCTCAATCTTCTTTCTATTCAAAATCTCAAATTCAACACTCCTGAAACCAAACCCTCTTCCAATTTTACCAATCCCTTCATCACAACAGCTCCAATGGCAGCTCGGATCCATGGCCATGTTCCTCCATTTCGGACCCAACACTTTCACAAACTCCGAATGGGGCTCCGGAAAAGCCGACCCGTCAGTTTTCAACCCGACCCATCTCAACGCGACGCAATGGGTCCAAATCGCGAAAGACTCGGGTTTCTCTCGCGTCATTCTCACCGCTAAGCACCACGACGGTTTCTGCCTCTGGCCCAGCGAATACACCGATTACTCCGTCAAATCGAGTCCCTGGAGAAACGGAACCGGCGACGTACTCGCCGAATTAGCCTCCGCGACGGCCGCCGCCGGAATCGGACTCGGTCTTTACCTCTCTCCATGGGATCGGCACGATCAAGCTTACGGGAAGACTCTGGAGTATAACGAGTTTTATCTGAGTCAAATGACCGAGTTGCTAACCAAGTAAGCTCCAATTTCTCAAAATTTCAAACCGGTTTGATTCCGATTTCAAATTTCTCAAAAGATTGGATCTTTGGTTTTTAGATATGGAGAGATTAAAGAAGTTTGGTTAGATGGAGCAAAAGGAGAAGGAGAGAAAGACATGGAATATTTCTTCAACACTTGGTTTAGTTTGATCCACCAGCTTCAACCAGGCGCCGTTATATTCTCCGACGCCGGTCCCGACGTCCGGTGGATCGGTGACGAAGCTGGTCTCGCCGGCTCAACCTGCTGGTCACTCTTTAACCGGACCAATGCCAAAATCGGCGACACTGATCCTCTGTAATGTCACTCTCTCAAGTGTTCAAACCTCCATAGATCTTGAATTTAACGTTAGAAAGAAGACTTAGAAGTTGAGAATTTGTTCGATCTTGTAGGTATTCTCAGGAAGGGGATAGGTTTGGGCAAGATTGGGTACCAGCGGAATGTGATGTATCGATTAGACCGGGTTGGTTTTGGCACGCATTGGAGTCTCCTAAACCGGCGGTTCAGCTTTTGGATATATACTATAACTCGGTAGGAAGAAACTGTCTCTTCTTGCTCAACGTCCCTCCTAATTCTTCAGGACTGATATCTGAGCAAGACATCAAGGTTCTCGAGGAGTTTCACGAGATGAAAACATCGATTTTCTCGAATAACCTCGCCCGCAAAGCCGTGGTTAGCTCGAGCAGCGTCCGTGGTGGCTGGAGTTTGCAGTTTGGTGCTAAGAATGTTTTGGAACAAGGGTTAGACAAGTATTGGGCGCCAGAGGAGAATCAGAAGGAATGGGAGTTGTTCTTGGAGTTTCAAGATTCGGTTAGGTTCAATGTGTTGGAGATTCAAGAACCGATCCAAATGGGTCAGAGGGTTGCTTCTTTTCATCTGGAGATGAAGAATAGTGCAAGTGGGGAGTGGGAGAGAGTCGTGAGCGGCACCACGGTTGGGTACAAGAGGCTTATTCGGTTTCCGAAAGTCGTCAAGTCACGGTCTTTGAAGCTTGTTGTGGACAGAGCGAGGACCGATCCGCTTATATCGTACCTTGGAATTTACATGGATAAGTTTAGTACAAGAAACTCATCAAAGATAACAACAATCTCTAGGACACTAAAGGAAGAGCAACAAGTACTAGCAGTTATTTCAAAGAAATAAACCGTTAATATCAATGTTAGATTTTGCAAGGGAGCTATAAAATTCATATATGTGCAACATTCATGTCATGTATTTATTTGATGAAAATATCCTTGTGAATTCTTAAGCAAGTAAAATGATCAATTTTGTGTTTCGAATGGCTGACTTTGTCTTTTATACTATAGTTTAAAAGTCTTGATTTTGTATATTTTTGGGAGAAATGTTTTAGTGGAAAGGAGGATACTTTTGAGAAAGCAGAGGAAAGCCTTAAAAGGCGAAAAGAAAATGGAAGACGATCAAACGGTTTTGTGTACGTTGCTTGCCGTCGATCTCACAACTTCTGATACATTGATGAAGCTAAACCTCTGATTCACTTTAAAATTTTTAATCTTATGTTGATTGCAGCATCTATGGTTAATCAAGTCTTGGATGGGGGAGTGTTTAGGATAATATTAACTTGGCCTTACAACCGAAACGCGCAACACATGAGAGTTGCTTCAGTTGTTCCTCTACGATCAGGATTTTAACCAGCAATTGTAACACTCACACAGCTTTGTTCCACAACGAGTCACTGTTCTTAATGTTTGGGAGTGAATTTACACTTGCGAATGCAACTACAAGCGTATGTTGTTTGATCGGTAAATATTCTCTAATTCGTTGTTAAGTTTCCTCATCGACTCCTAGTAACGATGGGATTAGGTTTCATATGGATTTTCAATTCGAAAACTTCTTATCGATGATTGTGGAAAGTTAAACCAATACTGACCTTAGCACAGTTGGCCGAACTGTGTACTGTAATAGGTTTTTCTAACAGCAAATCCTTAGGTTACTTGTTCAAATCCGGTAGGTTAGAATCTTTTTAGAATCACTAGGTAGGATACCCGCGTTTTGCCGCGGGAGACTTCTGTTTTTTTTTACTGTGTTATAAATTATATTATTATATTTTGATATTTTACAATTTTTCTTTATATCCACTAATTTTCTATGCTATGCTGCATAAAGCCATAAACAATTTAGAAAACATAGAGCCTTGTATTTTTAGTTTTGTATTTGATTTTGAAAATAGTTTACACCATTTAAAAAAATCAAATTAGCCTCTATACGTCAATTTTGTATGATACATAAATCTAAACTTTTGATTATTCGAGAACTTTTTGATTACCCAAATTTTTTTGATTAACCGAAAGTAATTTTACACAAAACAATAATAATAGAGCAAGAGCTAATTAGTATATACCCACATGATTTATATTAATATTATTTCTACATGTAATATAATTTTAATTTTATAAAGTAATTCAATTTGCTAAACAAAATAAGCTATGAATAACAGAATAAGCACATTGTGCCACAATATGCATTTCCTAAACGCTATAAAGAAAAATCTATATACGCAAAATCTAACTTGACAAGCCATTAAAAGTTAAAGCTTGAAGAACCATTTTTCTCAGCATTCTCTAGCATATAGTGAAACTCCTTCATAGCTTACGGATACAGAGATCTCCCCCCTTTTTTTCTCAGCATTCTCCAGAAAAGGCTTAAGCTGATGTTAATGTTATCCAGGCAACTCCTATTTCATAGCTTTTTTTTTAATGTTATCCTCTCTTTCATTTTCTTCTTCCTCAAATGTTGTTGCCTTTGAAAACGGGAAGCAATTGAGCTCTAAGCATTAAATTATATCCTTTAAAATCAGATCAAAACAGAAATATATATTCAAATTCCATTTACTCGCTAAATGCAAATATAAGATATAAATGCAAATATGAGATATGAGATTAGCACTTCGCATATACCAACGCAGTAAACACCCATAAACAAAGTGTTTGACCAGAAGCGACCATTTAAATCCTTGAATCGAGAAATTCGCATATGTATCTTCACCAACTCACCCACCGTCACATATTTCTTGGTCTGATCCATTTGATCCGACGATTCTCGTCCGCTGCCATCTTCTCCACTTTATCTTCTTTCAGATTGACCAAACTCAAAAACAGAATAAGACATCATACTAAAATACTAAGTTTTTCTAAAACCCCGATTAAAAGCGAAAGTGGGTAAGAGTAGTAAGAGATGAGTTCAAAACATCTTAAATTTCATAACCAATAAAAAATCATTTGCCGAAAAACGTGGAGGAATCACTCGAGAACCAAGGAAATAACCTAAATCCGTATAGATTGAAGTCTAGATATGGAGAATCATTGAGAAAAAATCAGTAGAAGAAGAGCAATTTGATCCGCATTTGGGAAAGAAGATTACATATTCGAACCATATTTTGAGGTAACAAAGATGATATATTCCAACCAAACTTTAGGTAGAAATCAGAAACGAAAATGCGACTGAGAGAGATGATAACACGAAGGAAGTAGAAACTTAGATGGGTTTGAGAAAGAAGTCGATTTCGAGAATGGATTACACGGAGGAAGAAGAAATTGCTGAAGTCGATTTTGAGATTGGACCGCTGACGTGTACTAAAATGTTTAAAATGTTTAAAATGCTGACTGATATTATTTAAAATGTTTTTATTGGCTATTTGTTTTAAATGATGTGTCACCTTCAGGAAGTTTCAAAAAGTTTATGCGTCATCACCTTGAGAGGCACAAGAAGTTTTATTGTGTTGATTTATTAAAGATTGACATTAATTTTTGATTTTACATTCTTAAATAACTGATATCTTTTTTTGTTAAAGCACTTAAATCAATATTAATTAACATCAATAAAAATAAAAATGATACAAGTGATTATTGATATACATGAGTTTTAAAAAACTGACACAAATATATATCATTTAGATAACTAAAACTTTTTCTTAATTTTACTAGCAATAATAATAAATGATGTTTAATGATGCATACAAATTTTTTAGTAAACAACTATTTATCCCACATCTAAACAAAGATGAAAGATAGTAATTTGCTCATCTATATAATAACTTCACTCAAAAATAATTTTTTTTTGTATAAGTTAAATCATATATTCACACATATATATATATATTAATAATAATTATTATAAAATATTAATAATTTTGAATTTAGTATTTTACGGAAAATAATACGAAATTTAGAATTTACATATTTTTAAATGTCACTAATTTATAAGGGGGAATTGCCCATTTTAGTATACAATTTGATTAGATTGTAAAACTAGACATTTTATTGCACTTATGTCAAAACTAGTCTTTTGAACATGTCAAATTACAAACCACATCCTTCTGAACAAAGAAAAAACGAGAGCCATAATGTCTATTTCACCCCGTATAAAGTTTACTCATGAAATCTACTTCATAATTACAACTTACATTTAAATTATAAATTTAAATAAACATAATTCATAAATAAAATAAAAAAGAAATTATAAATAAATAAGATTAACACAATTTGCATCCATTTAAAATAAAATTGCATAAAAATGAATCCATTAAGTCAACTAAGATTAATTATGTTTGTAACCTCTAAACTTTATGAAGTCTACTCGAGAAGTCTACCATATGATAAAATCTTAAATTAAAATTTTAAAATTTATTAAAAATATGTTGGTAAAGAAATTTACAAATAACTATAACACAGACAATTACTATCCATGGAAAATAAAGTTTCATATAATTTGATCAATTTAAATATATTAAGACAAATTATGTTATAATTAAAAAGAAATATGTGTAAAGTGTAATATCCCGGTTTGTGATAAATGAGGAGAGGCTTAAGAGAATTGATTTGGCTACCTACGTCAACAAAGTGCACTTACCTTTTTGGTCAAAGGTCTATAAGTAATTATTCCAGAGTTAAGCGTGCTTGGGCTGGACCGCTGGAGTAGTTGAAGGATGGATGACCTTCCGGGAAGTGGTTTCCGAAACCGTGTGAGTGAGGCCAAAACACGAGGAAAGGTCAGGTGTTGATTGCAGGGATAGTAAACAAGTCATTAGAGCCTCTCAAAAATAATGGACCGGCCGTCGGACAGGGTGAGGCCCACGGCCTAAGAGGGGCTTGCGGGTCCAGAGAGAGAGGGCGTGGGTAACTCACCGGGATGGGCGGTTGGGACGTTATATAAAGTCTACTAAATAACAAAATCTTAAATTTAAAGTTTAAAATCTATAAAAAAAAAATTGATAAAAAAGTTATACATAATTTAAAGGGTTTTCTGCAAATTAACCCTTCAAGTGGTTTTTGTTTGCAAATTTACCCTCGACTCTAGAAAAATGCATATCAACCCATCAAGTTCGAATTAACCCGCAATATAACCCGTATCTAAAAATAAAAAGTTAATTTTTTTTTTTTGGTATTCATTACATGTATTCAAACTAGTTTTTTTGGTATCCACAGACCAAGTTTATTAAAAGTATTATGTTTGAGTTAATTTATTCTATATATATGATTACAAAATTAAAGTGAATACATGATTCATTAACTTAAACAAGTGTTTTTCTACATTGGATATTGGAAATTAAATATATTTTTTTCTATTTCTTAAATAAAGGAGTCAGAGATTCTCTTCAATTCAAAAAAGAAGATGGAAAAAACCTAGTTCGGTTCTATCTCAGTTGTTCGACCACACTAAACTTTTTGGTCTCCAACCAAAGCCTAACACGTGGCTATGAAAACCAATAAGATTTTCAATTTCCTTTGTTATTTCTAAACGATTTTTTAAAATAATTTTTATTAAATACGTGGGTTATATTGCGGGTTAATTCGAACTTGATGGGTTGATATGCATTTTTCTAGATTCGAGGGTAAATTTGCAAACAAAAACCACTTGAAGGGTTAATTTGCAGAAAACCCTAATTTAAATAAAGACAAGTCCTATCTACGAAAAATAAAATTTATTGAAAATGAATTAATTTATAATTTTCATGAGTAAACCAATCACCAAGCTTAGTGTTTGAGGTATATTGTATAGGGTTTATGATTGACATTGTTAGGGTTTAGATAGTTTTGATAAAAAAATGTTTGCGGTTCGTTTAAACGATTTAAAGTTTGCCAATTCGTAGTTTATAATGTAAATTGTGATTATGTATACATGATTAATTTTTCCTATAGTCTTAATCATAAATATTCGACTTAGGGTTTAGGGTAAGTCAGACTTCATCGGCAGAATTCAGTGTTAGACTCCGCCACGAAGTCTGTAACTTAAAAAAACGAGGGGGAAACGAAATATTTTGGGCGGAAACCCGAATATACGAAATCCGAAATCCGAGGTGAGTGCATTAATGTTGGTCCGTGATTGCTAGGACTGTGTTATGTGTTTGATTGTGTGATGATTTGTGGTGTTACTGGTGTTTGATTCGTTGAATTGAGTTATTTGCTTGTTTCTATGGTTTCGAGTACTGTTCATAGATCGATCTCTGCGATCTGGAAATCGGTGTCGAGCGACACAAGTTTGTGTCGGTCGACGCCACATGGTGTGTGTCGACCGACACAAAGTGCCGATCGACACAGACCGGTTTAATCTGGTTTAATCGAATTTAATTGGTTTAATCGAATTAAAATGGTTTAATCGAATTTAATGGTTTATTTTGGTATTCAATTAACTAAGGGTTATTTGATTAATTAATTGAATATATAATTATTTTAAGTATAAAAATATTATTTAATTAATAGAATTATTTAATAATTGGAAAAATGGCAATTTAATAATTACTGAGAATTATTAATATTATTTTAATTGCTAGTAATTGCGTAATTGTCTTGTAGTCAGAAATTACTGAGAATTATTAATATTATTTTAATTGCTAGTAATTGCGTAATTGTCTTGTAGTCAGAGTGATTGTCTCACAAAGTATTTATTAAATACTTACGCATCTCTTTCACAATGTGATGCAGGTAAAAGATTTGTGTGATCGTGGAATCAAGGCCGAAGAAGAGGATGCTAAATTTAGTTATTGTTATTTGCTTCTGCTGAAAATTGTTATTTGATTTAATTAATTATTTAGCTTATTTTAGATACTTCACTAGAATTGTTTAATTAATTTATTTATAATATATATATATATATATATATATATAGCTTGGTTGTTTCACGGATGAAGCATGATCGACGGAGAAAAATGAGTTTTCTGTTTTTATTTTTCTTTTCAAAAGTCATGCGGTGGCGATGCGTGTCAGGTTTTAACTGAATAGAAAGTTTTTTTTGCTAAAAATCTGATTCCAGAAAATTAATTTAGTTTCTCTTTTCTTTTTTTCCATTTAAAGGCTAAACACTTTCTTAAAACCCACCTATCAACCCACGATGGAGATGCTCTAAGAGACCACAATTTGCTAAATGATTTACACTGGAGCTTTGTGTTTGAATATTGATCTGTTTAGTGATTTTGATCGTCACTATTCTTTTTGACGAGATTCAACATCGATGGATATTTGGAGTTTAGATTTTAGGTTTTCCTCAACTAACCATTCAATCTTGCTTGAGGGATTTACTATAAGTTAGGTTTATATTGGAAGGTATAGAATTTAGTTTTGTGTGTTATTTTAAAATCTTTAGTTCAAGAACATTTACAAAAACGGACGATTGAAAATAAGTAATTTATGTAATATTTTCTTGAAATCATATAGATATAACACTCATTGGAATTTTTAAAATTATGGTAATTTTATTCAGTAATATAAATAAAACATAAAAATATGATGAATAAAATATGAGAATAATAAAACAAAAAATAAAGCAAAGCATTAATCATTAAAAAAAACATAATGTGGACCATCTTCTTCTTCAAGCAAAATTAATGCTAGATATGCATCTTTGAAAGTAAATTAAATCAGCTAATATAAAGAAATTTTCTAAAACATTTGGTATAATTTGAAAATTTGAATAGTTAAATTACTTTAATGACTATATTTTGATAGTTTTCTTTTTATTTCATTTAAAAACAAAATTATTGTAATATTTGAATTATGAGAAATATTGTTTTTTGCTTATAGATATTTTTATTTTCAAAAACAACTCATGTCTACCACCTCATTTATTTTAATGAGATATTTTATTTGATGAGTCTTTAACAATTGAGCTAACTGTTTTTGTTAAATCTCTTGACTTAAATTAAACTAAAAAAATAATAATATTTATTACTAAAAGCTACTTTGTAACAAAATTACATTTATATTAATGAGATATTTTATTTAATAAGTATCTTAACAATTGAGCTAACTTTTTTTATTAAATCTCTTGACTTAAATTAAATTAAACAATAATATTATTTATTACTAAAAGCTACTTCGTGACCCGAACAAAATACATAATACCATGAAGACCTATTTGTAATTGATCAAATTACTGTCACATTAACTGAAATACGGAAATTTCGTCCTTGAGGATGGTGTCTCCATCGTCTCCCATTTTGCCATTTTCATCTGTTTCTTCTCCGCTGTCATCTTCGTCTAAGACATCTCCAGTGATGAAAGAGAGAGGATATCGAAACTGGGCGGATCTTCCACCGGAATTAACGTCATCGATCCTACTCCGACTTGGTGCAATTGAGATACTAGAAAACGCTCAGAAAGTGTGTAAATCCTGGCATCACATCTGTAAAGACCCTTTGATGTGGCGGAAGATTGATATGCACAATGATTTGGGGCACGAACACAAGACCATTTGTCGTCACAAGGCCATGTGTCGTCATGTTGTCGATCGCAGCCAGGGAGGTTTGGTTAAGATCGACATTTGGTACTTTGGTACCGATTCTCTCCTTGATTACATCGCCGATAGGTACTTCTCTCCCTGTCCTTGTAACCCCCTTGTAATTCATAACCAAGTCCATTTTGGTTTCTTCAGAATTTTTTTGATTTTCTTATTTGTTAGCTAATTGCTGTTTCTGGATGGTTTTATGTTGATCTCTTATAATGGACTTTTGGAAAATTGATGTTGAATGTTTTTGGTTCTTTATATTAATATAGTCCCAAATTAATCAAGGAAAATTATTTATTTTTCAGGTTTGTGATTGTTATTTCATTTTGGAGTAGAAAATATACACCTACCATGATTTCGAGTTCTATTGGTTCTTGTCTTCGGAGTGCTAGAAACAGATCTTTTGCATCTTTTTGGTTCTTATTTCTAAATTTTAGCCATTATTTCTTACCTTGTACACACAATGACTTGCAGATCAAGTAATCTGAGAAGCCTTAAACTTAAAAAGTGCTTGCTAATATCTCACAGCGGATTTACCAGTGCAATTGTGAAACTTCCATTGCTTGAAGACCTTGAGGTTTCAGCCTGCGATTTGTCAGTAGAGTCTCTGGAAGTTGTAGGCAAGTGTTGTCCAAATCTGAAGACGTTGAAGCTAAACAACCCTTTGATCAACTATAATGATGATGAGTTTGCCATAGTAATTGCAGAATGCATACCCAAACTTCGCCACCTCCAGCTTTTAAGGAACAGACTAACCAACACGGGACTGAAGGCCATTCTTGACTCTTGTTCTCACCTGGACCACCTCGATTTACGCGAGTGTTCCAACATTAACCTTGTTGGGGATCTCGAGATGAGATGTTATGAGATGATCAGAGTTTTAAGATTCACCCATTGATGATGACACAATTATAATTTTTGGTGAAGAAAATATACACCTACTACTTTTGTAAAAAATATACAAATACATTTTAAAAAAATTAAATACATATGATGTTAACAAAAATGTAATATTAAAAATATACAAAGTGCAAGGCGCGGGTCAAACTCTAGTGTGTAAGTATATTGTAAGATCAAAGGACTTGTATATTTAAAATGCAAATACTTTAAAAAGCCTTTGACTATTATCAAATTCACACACAAGAGAAAGTGATATCAATGTAGAAGCAAAAGAAAGATCATTTAATCACGGTCCTAATCAATCAAAACATTTAAAAACTAATCGTAGAAATCACCAACGATCGAGAATCCAAACGAAAGGCAGAAACACAGACCCAAACAGCCAAACCAGAGCTTACATATCTCTCTTGAACCTCACTTACGAACTTCATATTCTTCCGTTCACTATCCTCAAGAATCTCCAAGACCTCACCGGGCATAGTTTCACGGCGACGGCATGCGGCTTTCCGCCTTCAAAGAGGAAAACCAACAGCTCCATTTTAAACGTCTTCATGAAGAATTTTCGATGACGGATGCATCAAGGAAAACCTAGAAAATGGAGTTTTCTTGGAATGCAAGGCAACCCAAAAATCCCATGTCTCGGTTCTTCTGATGTTATCAGCGTAGCCAGGGAGCTTTGCAAATATGTCTCGGGTACCGGCTTTTGGTCCCTTGGCCCAATATCGATGCACAAATTGCGTTGGGACCTCACAGGAAAGCACGAACGAACCATCTTTGCTTAAGGCAAGACCATTAGGGAAATGAAGATGGTCCATTACAACTTTGGCCTTTTTCGTTTTCTTATCGTATCGAATCGCTCTTCCCGTCTTCTCGCCGCACAGAAACGCATAGAATACATCCCTAATCCAAACAACGACGAAAAAAGTTTTAAAATCTTGAAAAGAAGCAAACAATGTTGATTTCTGAATTTTGAAAGCCCTTCAACCAAAAAGAAGATTTCTGAATTTTGAAAAGAAGTAAATAGAGAGGTGAAGTTATAATACCCGAAATGGTAGGTGTCGCTGCTATCGTTGAAGTAGATAGCATCCTCTTCTTCATCTGTATCCATTTGGTTCGCAAACATAATTTTCTTACCATCGACCTCGTCCGCGACCTTCTCTGCCAATCCTCCTTTAGGCCCCAGTATCCAAAAGTACATTTCTTCCTTTAAATATATGTGTAATAATAAGTTAGCTGAATTTTGATACTGAAGATTTTTTACCTTCTCTTTTTTTGTCCTCCTCTTTTAGTCCTTAGAATCCCCATTCTGATTTTCCTTGCTTGCCTTGTTGTCTCTGTTATGATATGTAAAGTATTATTTGATATTGTGAATGATGTGCTGAACACATCTTATTAATAGAGTGGCGATGGTAATCTCAGAAGTGAAAACGATGACGACTCTGCATCTTCGATGAGAGCATCTTTGTATATGTAATGTAGCAAAGCCTTAAACCAAAACAAAAGTATACATCAAGAACAACAATTAACAAATCAGACACAAGTGTCAAAAAAAAAAGTTTTTAACTCCATGTCAGTAACTTCGATATCACGATCTTCTTCAACTCCGTCGAACTCGCTTTCGAAGACAGGAGACCGAGCGGCTAACACCAACCTGTGAGCACGGACATGAAATGAATGTAACCGAGGACAATGTATCTCCGAGACCACAACTCCCACTGTACAATTGATTTTCAAACAATCGTTCTTGAGAAAATCATATTCTTCCAACATTTTTCTTCTGAAGGACCTTTTGTATCCCCTGAATCAACAGCTTCCAACATCAATTCTCTAACAAATAAACGGTTTTTATCTAAAATTACCTAAATTTATCAAACCCTAGCAAGAGAGCTAAGAAGAGGAACAGAAAAACAGAGACTTGATTTAAGGAAGACAAACCAGATGCTGCGGCGATACTTGAGGGTATAAGGACTTAAGGGTATAAGGACCGCTGGGTCGAAGTGGCTATGAACCTTATGCTTCCCTTTGCCACTATGATCAAACAACAAAAGCTCAAAGAGAGCTCTTGCCATCGCTAGCCAATGCGATGAAAACGGAGACGTAAGCCGAATTGTCCTCCGGGTTCTTGCCGTCGGGGTAGAAATAGATTGCCCACTGGTATCCACTGACGGTGAATGTGTCCCTTGATGTGTTTCCGATCCCGATTCCTTTGGCTAGCGAATACCCCTTGATTGTGAAGCTGTGCGATCCGTTTATTGTTTGTCTAACCGAGAGAGAAGTCGTCGTCGGTGGCGACGTCATTTTTCGAAACTCTCTGCCTTTTTTCTTCTTCTGTTTTTTCTCGTGAAAAATTCGCAGACGGATTCTTTTATGAGTTTTTCTAATTTTTGCTGGGATAATAAGAGAGTGAGACTTTTCAACGCCGCGTAACTGTTGTAACTTGTGTAATAACAAAGTTAATTAATACTAATAAATTAGCAGAACAAACCGTAAAAATATGAAGCACTAACGAAACCAAACCGGATTTTAGATATTGAACCAAATTTATCTCTCGACTGAATAGAAACCAAAAATGTAGCAACAGCCGCCATTGAAGAAGCCTCGTCTCGGAGTCGGAGAGAGTCGATTCATTATCCCGGCCACCAATCCATTGCTCCGGTGTGAAAAGGATCGAACCCATTCCTAGCTTTGGTCTCAGCTCTGAAACCACCTCCGTGTCTCCATATTCTGCGGCCACATAAAGTGCGGTCTCACCGCACTGGTTCTGTTTCTGCAACACCTCTCTTAGATCCTCTTCTGATTCCATATGATCACTCAATATCTCTTTCACCGCAGAGAAATATCCGCGTCCATCACAGCGGAATGTAGCGGCGTATCCTCACCTTTTCCGGTCAGTTGCTTCGCCATTGTCTTCCTAACAACGGTTGGTTTCCACAGCGTCGATGTCGATGCTTCCTCCATTAGATCAACGCGATTGCGAAAATAGATTCAGCCTTACAGGAAAAAATACCTAGATCAAATGAGGAAAGACATTTCACAACATGACTTGTAAAGTTGCAGAAATCATCGATCTAATCCAGTTAATTTGAATCCTAATCTACGCATCCAAAATCAAAGATCTTGTTAAGAATCAAAATAAAAATTCCAAAAGGTAAGAACTTTTCTGTTCTGTATTTTTTGTTTCTACGATTTTAAGAAAGTGTCATAACAGAGAAATAAAGGCGAAAGGTCTCAAACGTTGATTAACAACTAATGTATCTACAGATGGCATTGTCACAAAATTTCACTTCCTGATCTAGTCTCAAATCGTAGAAACAGTTGCAATATCATTCGTTACACATCCAAGCATATAATATGTTTCTGAATCACTCTCAGCGTCCCTGTAGATAATTCAGAGCTTCAGCTACACCCACTGCAATGCTCATCCTCGTTTCCCAATTCAAAACTGGATATTCTTGTGGTAGACCCGGACCCAGCTTTGTGTGTGCTACACAAGCAAGAGCAACAAACACTCAAAATCAGTAAAGTTTGCTTTTTTAAAGAAAATTCTAAAACAGAATCAGTCAAGGTTGATTGTTACCGTAAATGTGGTGGTCGAGAGAGCCTTTAGGCATGAATTCGTAGGCATGAGCCGTAAATTTGTGTGCTTCGTCTACATCGTCGTTCTGGTTGTTGACATTTTCCGGTACATGCGGTCTTTCACGTTGTGCCGGTGGTGCTTGCTCTTCCACACGTGAGCCATCGCAGGTAAAGAATCTCCTCATCGCAGCGATCAACGAAGATAAAATATTTCTTGAAGCTTTTCTTTTCTTTTTCTCGAGACACTCAACAGGTTCATTGTAACCCAAACAAAAAGAGATAAGAGTTTAAAGCTTAACAGGTTCATAATAATGGCAACAAACATTGAAATCAAAGGCTTAATCTCACTGTGAACCTGAAAGATGACTTTTTTACTGTTCATTGTGATACCACACTTGCCTTCACCACTCTTTCCTATTTCTCATTCTACGAAGAGCCACACACAGAGTTACAATCTCAACAAAATGATAAAGTATGCCCCTTTATGCCCAATTCAAGTGTCAGACTTTACTAAACAATGATTCACAAAACCCACTCTCCATTAACAATCACAGGAGAACCAAGTTGCAGTTTGAAAAATCATTTATTTACTCAATCCAACGACGCAAGGTTCAATCTTTTTTATCAGCTAATAAAACCCAGAAAGCATCGAGCTTCTCTCAGGAAATTTAAAAGAGGAGGACCACTTACGAAGTTATTGAGACAATCAGCGTATGTAGAGAAAGCATCTTTCATGGGGGACAAAATCTACGTCCAGAAATGTAGGAGCCTAACAAACACGGTCGTTGCAGAAAACACATTCGATTTGGTCGAGGACCTCGAAAGTGTTCGGCTTGGCGGAGGAAGAAGCGCTTTGGAGGCTAAGATGAATCTCCTGCGTGAGAAGTTTGTGGGTTTTATAGGATCCATGAGCGAGGATTCCGCTTCAAGGTGCCTTAAATTCGGAAGAGGGAACGGACATCGAAGAAGAAGAAGAGTTGGAAGAAAGATGACGGCGAGAAGATGAATCGACTCAAGAGATTCAGTATGTGGGCGAAGAGATGGGCTCGGAAAAAATCATGGAGGCCCGTTTTGGTTTCTCTTCTTTTTGCAGGTGATTGTGGCATTTTCTTTAACGCTGATGACGTGGCAGCTTGGGAAGGAAGCAAAAAAAGCTGAGCTGGGTGCCTTGGTCCCAGACAGCTCCTTTAAGTTATACATCAGGGATATTTTTAAAAAGAACAAATGATAAATTGTTAATGCTAGCCTTTCATAAAAGATAAAAGATGCATGTACATAACAAATTATACCCACACAATCAAAGCATTAAAACTACTAGGACTAGGACTGAACGCGCGTGATGTGCGGGTTATGACTATTACAAAATTTAATTATTTATATTTTAATCACTATATATATGATAGATCAAATTATAGATTGTCTCTGTTTTTCTTATTTGGTAATTACTCCCTTAGGTTCGAGAATAAAACATGTGGATATATAAATTAGTTTGCAAGACACAAAAAAACAGAAATATTAATAAAATTTTGGGGAATTACCTTATTAGAGCATCTCCAATGGACCCTTATTCCTTTATAATTTAAGGGTTTTGCATTCCAATGGACCCTTATCCCCTTATATTTTAAAGGGATGAATAGTGCACCCTTAAATATAAGGGGTCACTGTTCACCCCCTTAAAAATATTTTGAATTTGCATTTTAGTCCTTGTAATTATACAATCTTACAAATAACATTTATAATACTTTTTGTGATCAGTTTAGTCTAAAATTATAATTTTTTTTTAACATTTACTCTCTCTAATAAGAAATTTAATTACCACCACATAAAATCAAATAAAAACATTCATTGATTGGAAAATTATGGAAACAATAATGTAATTTTAGTTTAATATTTTTATATATAATTTTATGTTTTAATGTAATTTTATATTATTATGTAATGTTTTAATTAATAATATTGTGTAATATTTTATTAAAGTGTTTTTATTGCATTTTGTGAAAGTTTTAGTATTATAATTGATTCTAGTTACTTTTAAGGACTATAATGCAAAAATATTTTTTTTAAGGGGTAAGGATAAGGTCTCCATTGGAACAAAACTTACAAACCCTTATTTTAAAGGTGTGTCCCCTTTATTTTAAGGGCCAAGAATAAGGGTCTCCATTTGCAAGTATATGTCAGTATGTCACAACTAAACCATATAAAGACTTAAAAATATCAATAAGCATCATGTTTCTGCAATTAAGAAGGCAAAAATAAATATACACACTCGCACTCAACTGATAGAATATGAAACTAAAAAATGTTAAATCTTTCGGTGACATTATTTTTTTCCCTTAAATACATAATGTAATTGTAAGAGAATCATATCATAACTTCAAACTAAAATTTATAATAAAAATTAGATATACTTATCATACATTATGACTTATGAGATCAGTCAAAATAATTTACTTTTATCTAATTTTCATTTCGTTGGTTGATTTATTATTATTACTATTATTATGATTTCTTGTTACTGTATTTGTGTTCTCCTAATGTATGATAAATATATCTAACTAGTAGAGTACCCGCACGTTTGTGCGGTGTAACGTTGTTGTTTTGTGTAGAAAATTTAAACTAAATCCGAATCGACAAAAAACCCTAATCATCCGAAAAATCCCGAAAACCCTAACTGAAAAAAAATCTGGAAACTTTTTCACCCGGAACCCGACCCCAATACCTAATCAAAATTTTAAAATACTCAATTTTTTTAATATATCTAAACCCGAAAACCAGAAATCTAAAAAATCCGGAAAACCCTAAACTGAAAAAAAAAATTGAACCTAACCCGAACAGAAATTTTCAAAGAAACCCGAACAATTTCTATATCTCTATATATATCTCTATAAAATTATGTCTCAGATTTTCACCCAAACCCGAACTTGTCTATAAAAACCCGAAAATCCAAAAAGCATATTCTATTGATTTGGAATTATCGTTAGATTATGTTAATTTTTTTTTTGCAGATTTTTAAGAGATGGAAAACGGAAGTTTTCTAAACCATCGGTTTATTTTAAGTTATTATTCTTGTATCCAAACAATTTTTTCCATTTATTCTTCTATCCAAATAGATTTTTCTCTTATTCTTATATCCAAACAACTTTTGTTTCCATTTATTCTTCTATCCAAATAGATGTTTCTCTAATTCTTGTATCCAAACATTAGAATGTACTTCTCAATTAATAATATAAAGATTTTTGTTATATAATACTTTTTAAGTATTGTAATATTAGTTTATGATAAATGTTATAAGTTTAACATGAAGTTCGATGATGTTGTCCACCAAAAAGATGCCTAGGAGAAATTGTGACACCGAATATTGTTTGACAAACAGTAAACAAAGAGCTCTAAATTAATCAAACGCCAAAAAAAAAAAACATAGCAGTTAATCGCTCGAGTTAGTATAGTTATATGTGGAGAGAGGAAACATGTATATTTTTGATTTAAAAGATCTATGACCAAGGCAAGAGACATGAAGGCATAACGGATCCGAATGTATTTACATTTTTCCCATTAGGCTCAACCCACAAACCCTTTAATTAAATCTGTTTGTATTGTACATAATAAATTCTACCGTCGAGTCTTCAACCATAATTGTGAACTTCAATATTTCCTCTCTTTGGTAGCGCATTGCTGGATCCGAGTCTCCAAGCTATGCTGGAAAATGCTTCATGCCATGCTTCTTTACCATTTTAACGTACCTTAAGAGCAAATTTATATAAAGTGACAACATATATAACTCAAGTAAATTAGAAGTAGGTCGTCAATTAGATAAACAAAAATAAGAGTATCTCAACTGAATGAGCTAAAAGAGTTTGACTGAAAGGTTTTATCCCCAATGACTACATGAAGGAACCATGGCTGCGAATTCATACCCCAGCTGATAAACGTAGAAAACAGCTGATGTATTAAAAGAAAAAAACATGAATGTAAAACTCAACGATACCTGTTTTCACCATTCTGACTCCTGAGTTAACTTCTTTTGAATTGGTCAGCGTGAAGATCTTGTTTATCATCCTCGTCCATAGTATTTCATAACCACAAAGAAGACAAAAGCAGTAAATAGGAGTGATTCATAGACGTGAGAAAAACTAATGAATTCAACATACCGGTGAGGCTCTGATTTAAAAAATCCATAAACTGATGGAAGAAGGAAGGCGCATCATTTCTCTAGCAAAGAAGGGGTTACATATTTTGGAAGGGTAACTCGATTTAGAGCTCAAGTGGTGATAATGAAACTAAATCCTAATCTGAAATGACTCCAAGGATCATTGATATGTCCCAAAGTGAACAATTTATACGGGAAGAAGAAAACAGATCTACATGATCAGTTTATCTGTAAACAAACAAATAAAATGGAGAGCAACATTCGTACGTAATCCATAACATATAGTTGCTAGAGTTTCGGAATTTTAAAACAAACCCATCGATTAGATTCATGTTTCATTAAAACACTTGAAATCAATTAACATTCTACTTTTCCCGAATCACAACGATCCAATCATAAAAATATGTAACATCGATGAAGCTATAAATGAATTTTGGTTAGAGAGAATTCAGAAGAAGCTGTGACGACGGTATAAATAATGAGATTCATTGGTAGAGGTTGTGTACCTGATACGGTTTTCTTTATGAAAGCGGATCACATCTTTGCTCTCATCCTTTTAATCGATCGTCTGAGACTTTAACAATGGTGACTAATAACCCATAATGGAGAAAAGGGCTAATCGAGACTTGAGAAGAGTTAAAAATGGTTTCAGATTGTTGACGGGTCGGAGTGAATTTTCTGATGCTTGACCTTCGGAGGTGAAGAGCTTCGAGGTTAAAGCTAGGTCATTTATATGGTGTCGGGGCGGAGTGAGTGAACTGAAAAGAAGGGAAACCATAGAGAACTGGCGAAGATTGGAGCTAAACATAGTAGTTATAGACGCATAAAGCCGAATCGATTTTAACTGGCATTAAATGTTTGAAAGGAAGATGATTCGGCTTGCAAAATGAAAAGCAGAGTTAAAGCCGATCAAACCTTTTAAAATTGCATTTGTGTCATCGGAGAGACGCTTTAAGGCCGCGGAGATCAGAGATCCAGTTTGATTTCCGGCCTCCGAGATTCGTTTAGTTCTGGCGAAGTGTTGTTTGGTCGGCGAAGCCGAGATCCGTTTAGGTCTTTAGGAGAGAAGACGAAAGACACGATTTTAGGTTTTTTTAGGTTTTTTGGTTAAAGAAAATAATGTTTAAGGACCGGGAGGAAAACAAAAAATTTCTCCTTTTTTGTAGTAAAAGGATGCTACCGCCTGATAGAAATATGGAGAGAGATATCTATATATATATATATATATATATAGCTTTCTCCACACAACGACAAATTGGTCAAACACAGTCTTCACTCTTCAGTCTTCACCAAGAAACCTCGCCCGCAGTTTCGTCCCACTCACATTCACTCGCTTTCGCTTCGTTTGTACTCCACCGTAGGCCTTTTTTTAATATAAATATACATATATATATATATATAAATATATATTAATATAACATAAAATTCCTCAAATCGGCTCATGGACAATGGGTCTCATTAGAGAAACGATTATAATTATGCGGCAAGAATTGGCAGGCCAGAACTATCTTAAGTTTAAATCCTAGTTACAAACGTTAAAACACTAGAAAAGAGAGGTTGAGCAAAACTGCGATATGAAAAAAAAAATTGACCTAGCCGCTGCCTCCGCCATCGGCCAAGAGATCGGAGAACTCCCTCACTGCCGTTACGCCCTGGGAAGCACGGGATGAGATTCCGGCCACTGTACCAATCACAACGGAGACTGAAGCACCTAACTCACCGACAGAGATGACGCCGGTTTGTAGTCTCCCACAGCCAAATAACCGACTTACGAAGAAGCCGACTCACAGCCTCCTCGCCTCACCTCCGATGGCCACCTCTGACCAACAGCACACAACTCCGCCACCGAACAGACCACT